AATAGTTGAAAATGTTTTGGTAGTAAATTATTTTATTAAATAGTTAATTAAAAGGACATAATATGTTGATGTTGAAAATATCAAGGTTCAACGTACTTTATTGTCATTCACATGTGGTACATGAGGTGGAATGAAATTGTGTACTCAAGGTCCCAGTTACACTCAAAAATATAAAAAAATTAAAGTAAAAAAAAAAAAAACCCCAGTATATAGGCTCTAAGATATACACTAAGATACATGCTAAACAATATGCTAAACACTAATAGTGTAAAAAAAGACTGTATATTAAACAGCAGCCTGGTATATTGCATGACCAATTAATTTATTTTAACAAACTTTCTCTAAAATCCAAGTCCAGTTTAAAAAGAAACATTAAGAAGTGGTTATTGGCATTATGTTGTGTTAAGGTATTATGTTAAGTTCCTTGTAATTAGGAGCCGTTAATTAGGCCTATTAACTAGATTTCTACCGTCTGCAGCAGACAGTAACATGATGTGATCACGTCTTAACTGAAAACAACCCTGAGCACGAGTTTTACAAGTTTTCAATCAAATGATTCACTTTACAAACAAACAGAGACACCAACCATAACACATGCAGGTTCAGGAATTAAATAAAAAAGTTTTGGTTTACTCACGCACAGCCAGGACCCACAGCCCACTTGCTTTCATGATTGTTGGATTTGAGTCCAGAGCAGCTGAAGATGGAAGAATCGTTTCTGGGAATGTGAGAGGAGTTTCCCACGTCTGCTTCATCACTCCCACAAACACACCTGCTTCTGTATCTGTGCTGAAGGCCACCAGATCTGATTCGTTCAGATACTCCTATGCTATCGTTGTCATCATTAAAGTCTCACAAGATACTCAGAAATGTTAGACACTTTCTGTCACATCCAAAAGTCAGAAATTTATATTTTCATTTTTTCTTTTCTGTGATTGTGAAATAGTTTATGACTAAACTTTCTTCTGTGAAGCAAAAAGTGTAGAAAAATGGTCTGAAATATATATATGTGTGTGTGTGTGTGTGTGTGTGTGTGTGTGTATACTGTCAGAGCATTCACATGAACAATCTGCAGGTACTTTTTACAATAATTTTACAAGCATACTTTGTGCTATTTTAGCCATTGATATATATTAAAACATTCATCTTAATCAAGACTCATTCAAGATATGGGTATATGACTATGATCTTTCTTTTAGCTTTTAGCTAATGTTTTGCTCCTTCTTTCTTTTAGCTAGTGTTCAGATTCTATCTGAGTTTCAGCTTCTTCAGCACATTTCAGTAGCCGTTCAGGACTCAACATTCACGCTGTATTTTTACAGAAAATATTATCTAGTTTTCTTTATATTTGCTTGCAATCTGTTTGTATATTCACTTATGATTTGAAGCAGCACATTTTATTTTGAACGGTGCTTATTGTTGACAATAAATGTCATCAACATCTTCCATCTCCCATGTTCCTCTGTACAGAACATTTTCTAAACTGATTAAATCTACACAACGTAAATGAAAAGAGGAGATGGAGCATTTTGCAAGTGCCATTTTTAAAATGTACATAAAATGAAATTTGTATAAATAAACCAAAGAACTAAGTTAAAGCAGACAACACATACAACTTCAATCAAAACCACGGTTTCTGTTTCACATCTGACATAAATTTAAGAATTTAAGATTTAAAGATTACAGATGCGAACAACACGAGGTCCTAAAATACTTTCTCAGAGCCCTTAAGGATGTTATGGTGTCAGGAGGTCTCGAGGGTTAAGATTTGCAACCAGACAGACGTCATAGCTGTCGTGCATGGCTGCTCGTCGCTCCACCACCGTCCACACATTGTCTGTAGGGTTCAGTCCCAAAATCTCCTTTGTAACGATTTCATGTCGACCTGCAGCCATGAGAAAAGGCGTGTCAGTATTGACTGACCAACTTCTAGTTTCCAAAGGGTGATTAGCTTTAATCCCTGCTTTAATGCAAATGAAAAGCATTGCTCCATGTTTCTGCAGAAACTGTTTGGGTATGTGGACTCCATCAACATGAGGCTGTAGCAAAGGAGTTAAGATATCTGGAAAAAAAAAAGAAGCTGCTATTAGAAGTGACACTGACCCGCTCCTTTGTAGTATCCACAGAGGTAAAGTGTTCCCGCCACCACTCCTGCATTGGAGGTGTTTGTATGAAGGGAGAGCAGGGATGTAGGAAGAGTCGGTCCTGCCCTCCAGCTGTTGGCATCTGGGTTGTAGATCTCCACAGAGCTCAGAGAGCGACGTGACTGTCCACTGTCCTCTCCATCACATCCTATACCACCTGAAAACACACGCAAAGGTTTTCTATCCTCATGCACTACACCTACTATGATAAATTATGCTGTTTTCTTGCAGGCTGACCGAGTATGTAGATTTCTCCATTGAGGACAGCTGTGGCACATCTGTATCTGGAGTACTTCATCCTGGCACACTCGGTCCATCTGTCTTTGCCGGGGTCAAACTGAAACATGCGGTTACTCAACTTGTCAGGCTCATCGTGCGGCTGATCCTGAGGATCACCAGGAAATAACCATTAAAAGAAAAGACAACTAGATGGACGGAGGAATAATTTGGAAATAACATCACTAAACTTTGCTCAGATGTTGAGAAGGGTTTAACTCTACCTGAGGAAAGATTTAGGGGTAGATTTAAAAAAAAGAAAATAAAGCTCTATGAGCGTTATTTGATCTTTTTTTTTTCTACAACCAGTAAAACAACAACAACAAAAAAAGAAGTCATTTTCCAGTGCAGACTAAGTAATTTCAATCCAAGAAAATGAAATGCCACTTCAGTTTTAAATCAAAAATCTGTGAACTGTTGATAGATTTCATGCAAATGGGTTGTGATGTTTTTTCATGCCTGCATGGCTTCAAATTTAAACAAATACATGAAATGTTAAGCCAAACATTCTCATATTTAATTTTTTTCTAAATGTTGTGAAATACATACAAAATGGCTTTTTCTCCACACAAAGTTATCAAACCACAGAGAAGCAGAAACAGTTTGATGATGTTCTGACACTATATTGGCTTTATTGAAGGCGCACTCTCTTCTCATCCTTGACCATATCATTGGTCTCCTGTTAGTCTTGATTTCTCTACTTGTGTGTGTGTGTGTGTGTGTGTGTGCGTTTGCCTTTATTACTCTTCTGTCTGTATTTGTGTGTTCATTTGTTTTTAGTATAACTAAAACTTATCATGAACAAGTTTTAACAAAGCTCTCAGAAAGTAAGCATTGGAAGTACATTTTATCTTTTTAGAGTTAACCTCACTCAGGATAGCTGCCACAGAAGAGTGACCTTAGCAAACACAAATGTGACTGTCTCAGCCAGTTTTACAGACCAGGAGCTAATATTTGGCGTGGTAGAATCTGAGAGTCATTCCCAACACATTCTTTGAAATATACACAACATATCTGCCTAAAATTTTAAGTTTAAATCCATAATAGCTGTCAAAATATGTGATTTTTCAGTATTGTTAATTTAATTCTTTTGTAAATCTGTATTGTCTATAATAAAAATAATCACTTTATATGCAAATGTCGACCACATGGTTTGTAATACAAGTTAAATCAGCAAAGTCATGTTTTGTTGTTAACACTGATCAACAGTTTGTTTAGATTAGAAAACTAACATGTACACTTCTGGTAGTCCCAATCATTATGGATACTGAGTCGGTAAAATATTCCCCGGATGTCAGAGTCCGAGGTAGAACAATGGACTCAGAGACACCAGGTGAAAAGCTAAAAGGTAAGGTTCTTCACTCCTGCTCTGAAAAGAAATGGCGACTAAAAGCTGTGAGGATGAGAGCCAAGAGAAGGAGTTTGTGCAAGGAAACTGAGCGGTGGAGAGCATTAAAGCAAAAGTTGGTGCAAAGGTAATCTGCAAATGAGATGTGCTGAAATATTCCAAACTAACAGGGGAGTTGTTTTTTAAGCTGATCTCCAAATTTAGTTGTAAACAAAGATGTTGCTGTTTTCTAGTTCAATTTTTACTAAAACCCTGAAGAATGTGAGTCACATTAAACTCCAAATAATCAGTGATGTAGAAATTGTCAGAAGCATCCATCCATCCATCCATCACTGTGCAAGAGCTGGGGTGTAACCTGGACAGGGCCCAAGCCCATTGAGACAAACGAGACGGACAATTTAGAGTTACCCATCAGCCTAACATGCATGTTTTTGTTCAGTGGGCAGAAACAATAGTACCCGGGAAAAAAGCATGTGCGCACAGAGAGAACATGCAAACTCCATCCAGAAATGGCCCCGGCTGGAATTTGATCCGGCAACGTTCTTGCTGAGAGCCAACAGCTCTACCAACTGAGCCACCCTGAGCCCATGGTCACACTGTGACATTTTGACAGCTGCTATGACTTTAACAGTGAGAGTCAACACTACACCCATCTACTGCACATTTCCTCCTGAGACATGCTTCCTGTACCTGTGGAGTCCAGCCCCCCAGCACGTAGAGATGCCCCTGCAGACTCACGGCGCAGTGGCATGCTAAAGGAAGAGGTAAAGGAGCGAAGCTGAGCCAGCTGCCTCCTCTCTTGAGTGACCATCTCTCCACGCTGTCGCTGATCACGTAGTGATTGCGCACCTTCATCTGACCACCTATCAAGTACAGGGCATCCCCTACTAACCCTAAAGCATACATATCCCTGTAGGGGGCAGAGCACACCTCCACCCAGATCTTCTCCTCTGTGTTACCATACCTGCAATATAAACAGGTAATTAGATAATGAGCATTTTAGAAGTTACCTCACTGAGGGCAGACACAAACCTGTAAATATCAAGTCTCTTTCTCCTTTGTTGATCTTCTGCCTCCACAGCCACTAATACGTCATTGTCTCGGGTCACAGCTCCCGCTGTGATCTGCCCCTTCCCTCCACAGTCTCTCAGTGGAGAGGGAATGAAGTAGAGCTTTCCACCACGCGGGGCATAGCAAAAACTTAGGTCAGCATGTCCTCCACGTCGAGCAGGAATACCCTCTGTGTTCACTCCACCCAGACAGAGCAGAAGGTCAGTCGTCTCCATGCCATATCGCAGAGCCGGGCGAGGTGGGGCTGATGTCTCACAGAGAGCTGAGGTTTGGAGAGCAGCTTCAATCATCCCAAAACACTCAGAATCCCGCAGCAGCACCTAGGGGTTCATTTATTAGGCAGTAATAAGCCTAATAATCTTCTTTTCATGACATTTCTATATGAGAAATGATGCCAGCTTGGTCCTGCTCTCCCCTTCCCATCTCACCGGGTTCTTTCTCCTAGCTTTTCGTAGAAATCCAGGATCTACAAGCTCCAGCCGCACACGCCTCAGTAACTCCACAGCCTGGGCTTCGCTCTGTGGGTCATTCCTGCGCCTTTCCACCCAGTGCAGCACCAACTTAAGCACAACCTCCTCCTGCGATATGTTCAGGTCATCTGAACTCAGAATGTCACCAAGGTTTTGAGCATCAAGCTCTAGCATTTCCTCTTCCTGACAAACCTTCAGAGAGCAGGAAGTTGAAGGCAGCATTAAAGAAAAGCATGAAATAGAGTTAAGAGCAGGAATGAATACAGAAATAAAGCCAAGACTTGTGAGTAAATAGGTTGTAATTAACACCACAGACAGTTTAAAAAAAGCAATAACTCATAACATTTGTGAAACATGCATTTAGTTCTTAACTTTACCTCTGTGTGATCTATGTATTTTTGCTAAATCCTTTGCCTGCTTTGTTTTTGTTGTACAGCACTTTGGTTGGCCTTGTTGCTGTTTTAAGTGCTTTATAAGTAAAGTGATATGATATGATATGATATGATATGGTATGGTAATCAGGAAACTTTTTTATGACTATATAGATAATTTTGCTCTGAAAGCCCCACCTGTGTAAAGTGTTGACAGATGTATCTCAGAGCGCAGTCAGCCAGATCCATGGCCCCGAGATCTCTGGCCCAGTGGTACAAACCAATACAGTTTGAAGTGTCCATGTGGGCTTCCATGTGACTCTGACACAACCTTCATTCAGCAACATGGCAATGTCAGCAGCCAAAACACGTAACTACTTCTTATTGGTATTAATTCTTGGTTGTTGGGACAAACAGTCATCGCCCACACTACTCACCTGAAGGCTCCATCCACGTGGAGCAAGAAGGCGGCAGCAGCAACTTCCTGGATGTTGCTGTTTGAAAGGTGGAGTTCAGCACAGTACATGTAGTCCAGAAGCAGCTGCAGACTGCGAGCAGGAGTGTCTCTGAGAGGCACCTCTGTTCCTCGGGTTTCCTTCAGACCGCATGTAAACATGGCCTGCACACCAAAAGTTATCCTAGAAACATCATGTTTGCCTTGTAGCAGTTCAGTGCATGATCTGCATGGTTATTTTACCTGGAAGTAAGGGCTGAATGCAGACAGCACAACCTTGTGGCATGGGAAGGGAATCCCCTCAGCCAGTAGCACCACATCTGTGAGCTCCTCTGCTGCTCTCATCCTCTCCAGCTGCTTTAGCAAAAGTGACCCATGGTCTCCCTGAGCAGAGAACCGGACCTCCGTCTCCATGGATTCTTGATGTAGAAACCTGCACCACTTCAGTCAGTGTAGAGGGAGATCTTAGTGTTGAACCAAACAAATTATTTAAAAAAAAAAGAGAAACTCAAGATATTTATTTCAGTAATTTCTTTTCGACTCATTTATGTGTAAATGTAGTGACATCTATTTATTGAAAAAGACTTGTGACAAGAGGACAATAAAACAGGTATTGCTAAATCAGGCATAATTCAATCCTCTCATATTGTCATTTAAGCACAACTTAATTCTACCAGTTTATTGCACAAATTGTTTTGAAACATATTGCTGGCATCAAATCTAGGAAGCATTTTATTTCCAGGTTTAACATTTGTAACTTTAATTTTGTATTCTTGTTTCAAACATTAGTTTACTTGAGTTGATGAGTTGAATTTGGATTACAAACTGGAAGCAAATACAAAATGATAGGGCTGCTCTGTGTAGTAGTTTGGTCAGCACTGTTATCTCACAGCAAGAAGGTTGCAGGTTTAACTCCTGGCTGTAAGGAGTTTGCATATACCACTTCATTTATAAAGCACTTAAAAACAGCAACAAGGCCAACCAAAGTGCTGTACAGCAAAAACAAGCAAAGGACACAGCAAAATTACACAGAGCACACAGAGGTGTAAGAACAAAATGATTAACATAATATAATACTGACAAGTTACAATCAACTCACACTGTATCAATAGCCAGGAAATAAAAGTGAGTTTTTAAACTTGACTTAAATACAGTGAGAGAGGGAGCCTGCCTGACATGCAGTGGTAAGTCAGTCCACAGTTTTGGACCTGCAACAGAGAAGGCCCTGTCACCTCTGAGCTCAAGACGGGTTCCTGGAACCAAAAGCATCTGGTTTGCTGACCTCAGAGAGAGCTGTGGGACATATGGCTGCAGCAAATCAGCAAGACAGGAGGGGCCAGAACTGTTCAGAGATTTAAAAACATACAGAAGGATTTAAAAATGAATTTGAAAGTGGACCGGGAGCCAGTGAAGGGAGGTCAGAACTGGAGTTATGTACTCTCTTTTTTCAGTACCAGTTAAAAAAATCAGGCTGCAGCATTTTTTGCATGTTCCACCAAAAAATACTGTGTTTTCTTCGAGTACTCAGATTTTGTCATGCATATTAAGCTAATTGACTGTTTTAAAAGGGTGAATGGTTTTCTGGTCCCTGTGCGGCCTACAACAGATTTGTGACCTCTCTGGATGGTTAAGAACTTTCTGAGATATTGTAGTCAGTAATCTTGAGTCTCATATATATTTGATTCCACCTCCTGTTTTTTACAATTTAGCCAACAAATCACTAAATGATGTTTTGTGTATGTTCTTGTTTGACTGTGCAGATTGCCTTAGTTTTTGTTATATTACTGACCTGATGTATGTCTGTATAAATGTATAAACTACACTTGACTGATGTCTAAAACTCCGGTAACACTTTACAATAAGGTACACAAAATTTGATTAACTACTAGGGAACACCTCAGGAAAGAATGAGGAGCTAATGGGTTATTAATTACCAGTACTTACTGGGGAACACACAGCCAAGCCGTATTAGGGCACTACTGGTTAGTTACCTTGTAAATGAAGAGGAACTAATCAAGAACAAATGGGTAGTTACCAAGGAAACCAAAGAGGAATGAATCAGGAGCTAATGGGTAGTTAACCAGTACTTACTGAGGAACACATAGCTCAGCCTTACTGGTTTGTGAGTTCTGAATAAACCCTGCATCAGTGATGTCACAGCTCCACCATAGTTAAGATGACAGCAGTACAAGATTATGAAATCAGTTCTTACCACTGATTAGTGGTAAGAATCAAATTAAACCAGTAATCACTAGGAAACAGGTTTTTGACAATTACTAGCTGTGATCTCACTGGTGGAGGGTTTATTCAGAACCCAAATGGAGAATTTCTCCTCTGTTTCTGTGGTAACAAACCAACAGTCCCCTAAGTCTTGGCTGTGTGTTCCCCAGTAAGTACTGGTTAACTACCCATTAGCTCCTGATTTGTTTCTGATTCGTTCCTGAGGCATTCCATTGTAGTTAATCAAATTTTGTGTATGTAAAGTGTTACCAAAACTCCAGACATACCATACTGTAGGTCAAATCTACTGGGTCCATAGTTACTTTTACTGCTCGAGATATTACCTAAGGGCTGTACAAAAGAGCATTATTAGTAGTATTTGTTCTGCCCAACACAATTAACAGAGGGTTTCAGGTTGTGTACTGATAGGTTGGGAGGGCGATTAATGCCTTTTCTCAATTTGTAATTGTTTTTTTTCTTTGAATTCATATTCTCTTAAACTAGTTACTTCCCTAAGGGACTGTCAGTGAGTGAGCAACACATAAACAAGCCACTTCAGAAGCATGCGTGAGCAGTTCAGTATGAGTAAAAGTATGCAAGCATGATTTGAACATGCACAAGCAAGAGTAGTTTTCATACCAGTTGTGTCCAAAAGATTTCCCAGACCAAGAGCTATAGTTTTCTAGAACTGCATTACAATATTTATATATATATATTTTTTTTTTTTTTTGCGTGTTTTATTTTGTTTTTATGTGTCAAGCAGTGTTATTTCTGAGTGTTGTCCTGTGTTCTGTTCTATTTGTGGCCAGGTTGGACACAGAACCAAATGAGTTTAAAATAGACCAGCAAGAGCTGATGGCACTGAGGTCTGGTCCAAGTTTAGAGGCGGCTGAGCTGCTCGTCCTGCCCACAAACAGTGGACCACATCATTTCACCTGGGAGTTTGTTTTTAAATCTGTAAACTGCAAGCAACTACTGATTTGTTGAAAGGTCTGAAAACATCAAATGAATGGACAACGTTCTAATCAGTAGTTTACGTATCTATATGCACAAACTGCAGACGTTCCTATTAAAAGACTACACAGAGATTAGGTGCACAAGTTTAAAATCACTGAAATACAACAAAATGTAGTCATGTCAAATCCGTAAAGAAAACTGAAGATCAAGCATTTATAGAGCAACTTTAATTAATTTGTTTTACAAACAGCAAGCCAGGCTGAACAGGAGCTACCAGAACCTGATAATAAACAAAAAGCATACTGGATTAGACTGGATTAAAGCATGGATTATTGCTTTATGTAACTGTACAAAAACATTTTTTGATCAGAGTTACTTCTGCCTGTGGGCAAACAGTCCAGGACGAACTTATCCTGGTTTATTCAGAGGCAGGCCTAATGCACTGAACAAATCTTCAGCTTAATGTTCCTCTGCTATGAGGAAGCAGAACCGAGGCTAGGTCAAGTCAAGTTAAACAGAAAATCCTGACTTAATCCTTTGTCTAGGATTTGTGAGATCGCCTGACGTTAAACTTCTTCCACATAGTGAACAGAACAGAAAACAACTGACATGTCAGCACTGGTATGAGCACGACTGATACACAATTTCAGAATTCATCCCACCCCCCAAACACACACATGTTTATACATTTACAGAATATCACAAAAATAAAAGATAGCAGCTACAGTAAGTGAACGTTTTTGGAAAGAAAAGCTGCATTGTCGACACTTTCTAAATATGTCGGGATCCTGCTACAAGTTTTGAAGCTTTACACAGATATTTTCTGATCTTAATGCTTCTTTTATGTAGAAGTGATAAAAACTGTAAAACAGCAGACACAGAGAGCGGACAGCGTGTGCATCGTGTGAGATATCAAGTGAGTAAATGTGGTGGGAGGGGTGTCTGCTTCCCGGACAGGTTACTGGAGGTGACGTGGATTTCCACGCGGTGTTATTACAGCCTTAATGTTCTCTGACAGTTTTCATGCACAGTCGAGCATGCTGTGTTACACAACTGCAAGAACAAAGTTTCTGGGCAGGCAGTCTGCATTGTAAATTAATGAGTGGTGCATGTTCAGAATGTAAATGCTCAAACCTCAACCTGCCAGCTTTAAGTACAAGAGGGACCTTGGGCCAAATGTTTATCTCAGGAAGGCCATGTTTCAGTCTGAGGGTGCTGACTGTGCCAGCTGGAGGGATTTCAGACCTATTCCAGGTGGCAACAGGAAAAAAATTGATAATGTGAAAAAAGTATTTTCTTTGCTTGCTTTCTTTTTACCTTCGGCCCTGAACAACGAGCGCCTTAAGCATTCTGGTGAATCATCCTTTGAGCCTGGCACACCTTTGCCTTCCAGGTTTCTGATATCTTTCTTGGCAAAAAATATTCACATTCACTCAGGCTGGATGGAAAGGATCAATGTACAGACAGATTCATTCAGGCTCTTCAGAGATGCTCTGTAGAAAGATTGAAATCTGAACTTTGGTTGCACCTCTGCAAAAGTTTGGTTCGACTTCAAGGAGGTTAAGAACAAGATGATGCTCGTGTCTCATTTACCCCAATTTTTTAAAAACTGTACAGAAAAAATCCTGCGCTTTATCAGATAAAACAATCTGAATTATAATTTGAAACCCAGTCATCTTTATTTCTGTGAATTGGTGCTGTATAAACATACCGGTACATCATTGAACTGAAATTAATATATTTCCAACAAACCCTTTTATTAACCTCACCATTTGTTCAGAGTGACCTCTGACTTGTTGGTTACCTGTATGACTGAACCTCTGCGTCAACTGTGCAACAAGATGAAGAAAGTCCAAAAAAAAAATCTTTGAGAACAACATTGACGGTCGTATTTTTGGTCACTGTGAAGACAAATAATAATCTTGTGTGTTGCTCCAGCGTTGTCATTTACTAGAGTCTATGCTTTACACATAATAGAACAATAATTTACAATAATCTATACTTCTTACTTTTTCATGTTTTATTCTTACTGTGTAAAAATGTTTATCTTTTTGGCTAACTAATGCTTTGTTCCATTGTCAACACAAGCAATTCTAGCATTTCCATTCACTGTATATCTACAATTTGAAATTGTTTACAGTATTTTAAAATGAGTTTGACTTTTCAATGATTATTCTTTAACTCACAACACAAATAAGGCCTGACCTTTACCGCATTGATCTCTCTGTTCACCTTTTCATAAAGAGTCTATCAAAGCACTAAGATGTGTGTGGAAGAATCCCAGAGTTTAAAGACTTCCACCCCGACGGTGCTCAGTATCTTTGCAACCCGTTCCTAATTCTGTGTTGCTACTATCTTTAGACCGACACATCAGTGTTACAGTAAAAAGCCTTTCTACTCCAAAGTTCATGAAACTAATGTTCTGCCAGATCAGACAAGTTGAATTTTCATTTGTGCCAACTCATCAAAATGGTCCCACGTTCTACCATCACACATTTACATGTGTGACTGAGAAAAAGTTAATATATAAAGAAATGCTTCATTTACTCTCATCTATTGCTGTTAGGTATTTTCCTGTCATAAACATGAAATGCCCTCTTATGAGGGAGCTCAAGGTTCAAGGTTCTTTATTGTCATTCGCATCACATGTGGTACATGAGGTGGAATGTCATTGCATACCCAATGTGCCAGTTACACCCAAAAATAGCAAAAATATAAAGTATAAAAAGAAGCAGTAAACAAGGATCTAATATATTTGCTAAACACTAATAATGTAAAGTAATACAGTATATTAAACAGCAGCCTGAAAAATGAGTATGTAGTGAGCAGGTGGGTATGAATACAGCAGCTTAAAGGCAAGAAATCAGCAGCGTGGATAATCAGCAGCACAGATAAGTCACATATCACCAACTAAAATGGCATTACAGTGATTGTTTTTTCTTCCTCACAGTGATTATCCCATTAGGGATTTATGAGTCTAACAGCTTCAGGGTAGAAGCTGTTCCTCAATCTAGTAGTTCTACACTTAATGCTCCACAACCTCATGCCTGAGGGGAGCGTGGCAAAAAGTGTGTGCGCTGGGTGAGTGGGGTCCTTCCTGATGCAGGCGGCCCTCTTCCTGCATCTGGAGGATGTTCCTTTACTTGGAACCTGCAGTGGGAACTGTTTTGCCAGTGGTCACTAAATAACATCAACAACAACAAAACAAAAAAAAACATAACTACAGAAACACAGAGTATTTGTGCATTTAAGTGTACAAAGAAAAGTTTCAGAAATAATGTCTGATGAAATTACAATAATACAGTAGCCCCTTGCTATTTCGCGGTTTGACTTTCGCGGTTTTTCAAAGTAGGATCGATCCCAAGAAAGAAAATTGTACATGACACGATTGCCAACTTTAATATTACTCACATGATTGAGACAGTACTGGATACTGTACTGTAAAATGTTAATGACTAAACAAAAACTTCAGACAGGCCTTTTGGCGCTTTGAGAGACATTTTGTATTTTTCTCTCAATAAGCCTACATTGTATCCTCACTCATATTGACCACATTTCCCAGTAGTCAACAGTGCCCAACCCAGAAGCCCCGTTGCCTTCTGCTGAAATACTAGAGGGAAAGTTCTGAGCTGATAGGAAAAAAATTGGCGCTTAATACAGTGACTTCGGAGCCCAGCAGATGCAGCGAGCTGCACGGAACCCACCGGGAACCGGACCTCCAGGCTCATCTGTGAATCTGTGGGTGCGTTCACACCAGCCGTGTTGTCCCGAACTCTAGTCCGTTTGCCTAGGAAGTCCAATTTGTTTGGGGAGGTGTGAACGCGCCATCGAGCTCTGTCACAGAACAAAACGGCAAACTCTGGCCCGCCTAAAAACCCATCTCGGTCCGGTAGAAGAAAACTCTAGCACGGTTCAAGTACAGTGTGAATGCAAGCAGACCGGACACCGCTCCGCAAGAAGGAAATGGACTACAACGCAGGGCAAACAAACATGCATTTCTCTTACCTCATATGGAGCCGTCAGCCACCTTGTGTGAAAAACAACATTCTCCATGGTCTTCAGCCTCATCTTCCGCTCATGCTGAGCCCATTGTTGAAAAATAACTAAACAGAAATACTAAAACCGCTAAAACTTGACACCGCTCCGTTTTTTTTTTTTCCAGAAGAAGAAGCGTCTTCTTCAGAGGTTTTTGTGTAATTTCTTTTAGTAGTTCTTGGTGCAGCACCACCACAGGCGAGTGGGGGAACAGGTTGGCTCGACTGCACAGTGCAGTGTGAATGCAAATGCACCAGCTCAAACGTAAACAAAATGTTATGAATATTGGTCCTCAACCGAACCGAGTCTACCGGACTATCTGATATGAAAACAACCTGAGAGCTGGTAGCTAGCCCACGAGGATTTCCAAGCGGGACGCACACCGTCGAAGTTCTTGCGCTCCCTCCGGAGCCCACCGGGACACTTTTCATCTCTTGGACTGGCGGTCCTGTGCCGGCCACCTGAAGGTCCCCTCCCCCCAACACTTTGGCGCTCAAGGGTGGTACAGAACTGGAGCAGAACTGAACCTCCAGACTCATCAGTGAATCTGAGCTGGTAACCAGCTGGTAAGTCAAATTTAGTAGCTACCTATAAAGATGTTGTTAAAATTGGTTTAAGAGTTTAGAACACTGATTGTGGGCTTTGTCGCTGCAGGTTATGTCTGCAGAAACAGAACCGAGTCAGACCAGAACCGAGAGCTGTTGCTGCTGTTCTGCAGAGCTGGTAAGTAAAATTTAGCAGCTACATATACAGTACTGTACGTATGTTGTTAAAATGATGTAGGCTTGAGTTTAGAACATTGCAAGCCTTAAAATATATATAAATACTAAAATAAATATAACTTTGCTACTTTGTGGATTTTCACTTATTGTGGGGGTGTCTGACTGGAACATAACACTAGCAATAAACGAGGGACTACTGTATAATATTTCTGCTTAGTTAAAGCTATTTTATTGCATGTTTCTTCTACATTTCATGACATTTACACAATTTATTTCATGTCTTAATTACAAACAGATAAATTAAGGACCTAGTACAGAAGGACTATATCACCCACTGCCTTTTTCCTAAAGTCTTAAATTAATCTAATTATTTTATGACGAGAAGAGAAGGAGTTATATAAAGAAGCCATTTTAATCAGGCCTTGTAAAAAATTATGCTGAGGATGACTCAACTACCACAACAGATTTTAGTTAAACGTCATTGAATTTGTTAGCTATAATTGGGTTGGCCATGGTTTGATTAGCTGGGCAGTCATCTTGAACTGGTTTGATTCCAGAAATTAGTCAAATGTAGATGAAGATTAATTTCTGAATGTTTCTTTGAACTCTGCTCAGTGAGATATTTTGTTAACAAACAAGATTGATGTGAACAGTTACTGCCAAAGTTTTACACAATGATGCCATGCAATGTGTTGTGCTCAGACTGTGTTGAGAATTACTCTCAGCTACTACCACAGCAAGTTTTAGCTCAGTGTCTGGAAAATTGACTGTTAGGGTCATTAAGTGTTGACCAAGTCATTAATCTGCAACAACCATCTTGAATTGGAGCAACTTCAAAAGTAAATCAGTTGTAGCAGCACAAGTAGTTCTAACTCTGATAGAAGCTTTTGTATTCATATCTTGTTTTCCAGGCCTCTACAGCTGTCCTGTAGAAGGCATCACAAGGTTTCATTCTTGGACCTCCTTTTTTCTTTATATATATGATACGGTCATGATCGTCACTTGGGACTTGAACCAAATCAAAATCCTGTGAATGGTGAACAGAACTTAAAGGTTGTAGCTAAAAGAATAAATGAATATCTGACTATCAGCTACAGAAAGACTTGTCACTCACTGGCTGCTAGAGGAGTTTAAAAGTGCCGTAAAACACAGGGAGCAATGCAGTAGTCAGGTCACAGGGAACCAGGAGTCTGACTGAGAAACACAGACACGGATTTATATACACAAACACTAACGAGACAAAGTGGCAACACCTGGGACACACACAACAGGTGGCAAAGGAGGAAATTGATATTGAGGGAAATAATTGAGAAGCAGGAACGAGACACGCCACAAGAGGGCACAATCCAACATTTTTCAGTCTGGTCATCTGGACAGTTACTTTTTTTTTTTTTTGGTGCTGAAAGGTTCACCTTCGATCCAGAAGGCTTCATCACTCAAGGAAACACACAACAAAACTAATTCTTCCCCCACAGCTTACTCCAAAGTGGAACAAACCATGTCTGCTTGTGATAAGACGGTCTCTTTGGTACGCCCCCTCCTCCATTGCAGGCCCTATATATATATATATATATATAATATTCTTTAGGTATCAAGCAAGTCAAATTTTGTTTATCAAGAGAAAGAGCAAGTTATTTTTTGAAAGGGCAAGTTTAATTTTTAAACTTGTTTGCACTAGAAAAAACACAAATGAGTAAGTCATTAGTTTTCTCTTCTAAAAATAAAAATGTTATTACTTTATGTCCTCCTAAAAGACTGCTGCTCAGCCATAAATATAAGACATTTCACTAACACTCACACACACACACATCTAACATTTGTGGTGAGTCAGCACTAAAAAGCAGAAATCCATTATAAATCTGTCACATCTTGCTGCATTTGCATCCAGTGTAGAAATTCATTCAACCTTTATTTAAACAGATTAGGCCCATTGAGCCTCGGGGACTCATTTATGTTTTGTGTTTAATGTTTTTATATAATTTATGTGAAATGTTTTACCTTATTTATTTTGCAGGGTTTCAGTATGTCTCTTTGAGTCATATGTTACATGTTTTGGAAAATTTTAAAAGCTTGGCGTCTAAACGTTAAGTTAATCATACAAGAAATGATACACGCATTCACACACACACATTAACTCAGGTGTGTGTGTATGCACATCAGAAACATGCAGAGTTGTGGTGGTGGTGTCTCATATAAGGACAGGAAAGGAGAGATCACTCCTCCAGTACAAAAAAGAGACAAGCACTGTGTGTCAGTACTGAACACTGCTGGTCACGCCACACAGACCCCTGAGCAGAGAGCAGGAACTCACACAGACAGCAGCTTTCCAGAGCTCCACTGACAGAGAAGGACATGAAGGAGAGACGCTCATCTTCTGGGGAGTATGTGGTGCACAGGGAGGTCTTCAATGAGCCCCGACTGGATGAAGTGGCACAAAAAGGGATGTGGTCAACTAAACCGACTGTGGGTGAACAGATTAAAGAGTCACTGAGGTAAAAAGAAGAGAGATGAGAGGATATAGAGGACGGAGGTGCAACAAATGAAAAACTATAAAATGAGTGAAAATTCAATTTTTGCATGTCTGTACTTTGACATAAATGTTAATTTATCTGTGTTTTTATGCATCTGCACAGTGACTCCTTGCCTATTTGTGAGCGTCAACATCTTTTGAACGAAACAATGTTTTTTATGACAGACCAGAATGACTGATGAAAACAGTCTTGTTAAAACTAAATGACCCATTAACTCACACATTTTAACCTCCTTTGCTGAAACATGTTTTCATTGTGACGGGCATCCTAACATGTTAATAAAAAGAAACTGTTACAGCTCCTCAAGGTCAGCTGATAAAGGCTGCAGCAGGTGGTTCAGTTCTCAACTCTCATCTGTTTCTGTTCTTTACATATGTATTAATGTAAACGAGTAACAATGGTCCGTAAGGCTAAATCAAAATGTCTAACTTTCACACAGATCAGATCGGGGATAAAAGCCCAGAACAGGATTCTTTAATGTGTGTTATGTTGCAGGTGTTCTGTTCCCAGGCTGAAGCATACAGTTCTGACCTGGATCCCCGTCCTCTCCTGGTTGCCTCATTACTCGATCAGAGAAAATGCTTTGGGTGACCTGATATCTGGCTGCAGTGTAGGCATCATGCATCTGCCACAGGGTTTGTATCCATGCATTTACAAATATATGCACAGAGTTTATGTTAATGCTTTAACATCTTTGCAGACTTCTCATTTTGCAGGTGTTGTTTAACGTTTTAGAAGATGTTTCTGAGTTTAGACCGAAGACTGGGGCAAAGAGACAGAGCTGCCTTAGGTTCAAATGCTACAAACAAATATGTGATAAAGCTTCCTGATGTTTTCTGTGGATGAACAACCACATTGAATCATTTTTATGTTCACAGCTCAAAGTTTGATGTATCTTTCTTATTTCCAGTGGACAATTTGATAAACAACTGTAATACACAAAGACACATACTAAACAGTTAATGCTTACATTTTGTGTTGTACAAGGCAGATGTTTGCTGTAATAAATGACTTTTTGAACCTGTTTGTGTTGTTTTGTGACAAAGTGTGTGGATGTGCTTTGATGAATCTCATCTCACAATGTCAAAATATGTTCGGGACACTAAAAAAAATCATAAAAGTAGCTTTCAGTAGTTCAAAACTAGAAATATACAATTCTAGGATTCAATGGGATGTTTTGAAGCTCGTTTTACAATCATTAACAGACTCAGGCTTCATTTTAATGCTGCACATGCTCAGCAGCTTGATGCTTTATGAAACAAAAAAAAAGATGGATAACAGGAGGATTTTCTCTTTGATCAACAAATAGGTGTTAACACAACCCTCAGAGAAACAGAATATGTTACAAAACATGAAACAGCTTAATGAAGTAATTTTAAAAGCCACATTTTGTCACTTGTACCTTTGATGGAGGACAAGTTTTCACTGTAGTCTGTGTCACCAGGCATGGCGTATGCTCTTCTGGCCTCTTTGCGGCCAGTGTTAGGTCTTTACACTTCGTTCTACCCGGTGCTGGTCTACTTCATCTTTGGTACTTCTAAACACATCTCAGTAGGTGAGTGGAAACATGTGAGTGAGCAGCAGAAAACAACCAGACTCTTGTTTTGTCTGGAAATGTGTGTTTTACTTGTCTGCATTTTGTGACTCCAGGAACGTTTGCTGTGATCAGCATCATGATTGGGAGCGTGACAGAAAGGCTGGCGCCCGACAGCAACTTTATTATAAATGGGACCAATGGGACAGAAGACCTGAACATCGCAATGAGGGACTCAATGAGAGTACAGATAGCGTGCTCCCTCACAGTGTTAGCAGGGATTTTCCAGGTGTGTTTCAGACTTCTTTAAATACACCAATGAAATTACAGGAAAAAAAGAGAGCATATATCATATTATCCTAATGCATGCTCAATAATCCAAGTAGATACATCTAACAAGGTTAAGTCAGGTCTTCTTTTTTGAAACATTTCGTCTTTTATCCAAAAAAATTCTTTAGTCTCAGGAACTGCAATAAACTACCGGTAAGTCTTATAAATAGCACCTTCTCATTGTGGATCAACCACTTTGCTGTTGACAACCAAAACTAGTTGTTCACGTGCAAAAAGAGGACCATCAGTCTAATGACCTGTTAGTGCTCTAATTACCGCTTACTATTCACAGGGGGCTGAGTGATACTAGCAATAACAGCATTGTAAAAGAGTGACAGTTGAACCCGGAGGCCTCCACCCCTGTTTAATGATGGACGATTTCTTTTCACAAAGATGGCCTCCTTTACTCCTCTCTCAAACCATCGTTCCTCTCCATCCAGGATGTGAACATCTTCATCCCTGAAAGAGTGACCGCTGGCCTGGAGATGAGTGTAGATCGCAGAGTCCTGGCCTGATGATGTTGATCTTCTGTGCTGGTCCATCCTTTTGGCCAGTGGCTGTTTAGTTCCCCGATGTAAGACTGATCACAGCCCTCCTGACACTGAACAGCATACACAACATTACTCTGTTTGTGCCGGGGGACTGGATCTTTGGGATGAACCAATCTATTTCACACATGGGGCACAATACAGAAACATGGGTGTGCTATGGAGTCTCCACTTTCTCCTATTGTTGCCAACCTGTACATGGAAGAGGTAGAAAAAAGAGCCTTGACTTCCTTTATAGGGACACCACTGAGTCATTGGTTCAGGTATGTTGACGACACCTGGGTTAAAATTAAATCTCAGGAAGTCCAACATTTTACTGACCACATCAACTCTGTGGATAAATACATCAAGTTCACATAAGAAGATGTAAAAGATGGCAGGTTGGCTTTCTTGGACTGTGAGGTCTCAGTCTCTGATGGAGGACATTTGCAAAATGAGGTGTACCGCAAACCCACCCACACAGACCAGTATTTGCAGTTTGGCTCCCATCACCCTTTGGAGCACAAGTTAGGAGTCATCAGGACTCTGTATCACAGAGCAGACAGCATCCCCACTAACTCAGGACCAGGCAGAAGGAGAAATCCCACACAAGACAGGCTCTAGAGCAATGTGGATATCCTAACTGGGCCTTCCTGAAAACAGAGAAGAAACCCAAACAGGACTCCAGTCAGCCAACAGGTGAAAAGGAGGAACCCAGACCCAGACCAGTGGTCATTCCATATGTTGAGGGAGTATCAGAGAAACTGAGACGTTTATTTTCTAAACATAACGTCCCAGTGGCTTTTAAACCTTAAAATACATTACGGCAAAGACTGGTTCATCCCAAAGATCCAGTCCCCCGGCACAAACAGAGTAATGTTGTGTATGCTGTTCAGTGTCAGGAGGGCTGTGATCAGTCTTACATCGGGGAAACTAAACAGCCACTGGCCAAAAGGATGGCCCAGCACAGAAGATCAACATTATCAAGCCAGGACTCTGTGGTCTACACTCATCTCCAGGCCAGCGGTCACTCGTTCAGGGATGAAGATGTTCACATCCTGGATGGTGAGGATCAATGGTTTGAGAGAGGAGTGAAAGAAGCCATCTTTGTGAAGAGAACTCATCCATCATTAAATAGGGGCAGAGGCCTCCATGTCTAATTGTCACCTTCTTACAATGCAGTTGTTGCTAGTTTCCCTCTTCTGTCTGTGAATAGCAAGTGGTAATCAGGCCACTAAAGATCGGTCGTCCTGCTTTATCATGTGAACAACTAGTTTTTTTTTTCTCACCAGCAAACTGGTTGATCCACTATGAGAAGGTGCTATTTATAAGACCAAGTTTATTGCAGCTCCTCAGACTGAAGAAGTCTTTTGGATAAAAGATTAAATGTTTCAACAAGAGGAATCTGTTCAGATGACCTAACTTAACCTTGTTACACATATATCATATTTCTTCACTTATGAGTAACAAGCTCTTTAATTTCCCATCGTAAGATCCTGCTGGGAGTGGTGAAGTTTGGCTTTGTGGTGACCTACCTGTCTGAGCCCCTTGTTCGTGGATACACAACAGCATCAGCTTGTCATGTGTGTGTCTCTCAACTCAAATACCTGTTTGGAGTCAAACCAGCTCGCTTTGCTGGTCCTTTTGCATTCATTTATGTGAGTATTAATGCTAAAGGTTTTGTTATTTCCCTTGAACTTGGAAGCTATGTTTGATTATCGCTAAAATGGACAATAATTTTTCATGTTACTTGTGTCTTGCGATGGCAAGTGAGCAAAGGAAGGACGCAAATGCAGGTAAGCTTAGGAAGAATATTAAAATTTACTAACTAGAGTTTAAACAACAAGTAGAGGCTAGCAAAAATATTTAGGTGAACATATGATAAGACAAAGACCTGAAGAAAAGAAGGAGGATAGGTACTGGAGAGATCTGGATCTAAAACAGGTGAGCAGATTACAAATGATATACCCTAACATATTGAAACTCGAGAAAACAAGCAGGAAAATCTCATAACACAAAAGCTATACAAACCCCAACATCATGATAATGCTTTATTTTTACTCACTTGGTTGCTGCTTCAACGGAAGCTGAACAAATCAAACACAAACAAAAGGTTCTTTACATTTATTGAAAATAAATGTAGCAGCATTTACTAAATGAACTTGAAAACAATATATTTTTTGCTTTTGTTTATTGTTTTTTATTTGTAAAATAAATAAAAACAAAGAAGTGAGTTAAGAATAAAAATCTTTCGTTGGTCCATGATTACTGTCTGTTTATTTGTTTGACGTTCAGGTGGAGAACAATTGACCTAATTCTTTAACTTATATTTAATTCACCTTTGTTTAGCCAGACAGGTTGATTGTGGTTTGGACATTAAAGTTGATGGAAGAGTTAAGATACAAATAAATAAAGTTAAGAAACCCATATTCCGAGGTGAATATTAATAGGTGTATGCCTTTGAAAAGCAGGTACATTGATCAAAAACTAACAATGGTATGGAATGACTAAAGTTGGATTGTGGATCTCTGGTGCAGAGTTTTAGACTTTTTGCACCTCATTCTAATTATTAGGGGAGAAAAGTGGAATGAGAAACAAGCTTTAAGGGATGATCAAGGTGATGAAGTTATTCAACTGTAAACTGCGATTAATGTAAATGTTTCTGTCTGTTTTGTGTTTTTCTACACCTCCCTGTGTTTTTCTCTCCTTTGTGTTTCTGCTCCTGTGCACACCTGTCCCGAGTTCTAATCACTCCAGGTGTTTCCCACCCTGTCTCATTGGTGTCTGTATTTAGTCTGTGTGCTTTCACTCCCCTGGTGTCTGGGCATTATTTAGTTATCTAAATTATTTAGTTATGACCCATCCATCCCACCTCAATCTGTAGCTCTATTTGACCATTTTGAACCCATCACTCTATCTTCTCTAGAGCAGGTCATGTGCAGCTTGAAATATTCTGGTTCCCCCTTTGATGTGGTCCCCCCTCGACTACTAAAGGAGGTTTTTCCTACTCTAGGTCCGTCCATTCTTGCTAAAACAATAGTTTATCCACTGGTGTGGTGCCAAAAACCTTTAAACATGCTGCTGTCCAGCCTCTCCTGAAAAAACAAACCTTGGACCCTCAGCACAGGACTGGCACTTTGATAAGTTACTGTTTTAAATGTGCTATATAAATAAATGTGACTTGACTTGACTTGACTCAGTCGTATCCAACGTCCGGCCTGTCTCCAATCTCCCATTTGTTTCTAAACTACTGGAGAAAATAGTTGAGTCCCAGTTGAAGTGCTTCCTGGAGGGTCACGCTATCTTAGAGCTATTCCAATCTGGCTTTAAACCTCTCCATAGCACTGAAACTGCCCTACTGAAGGTTTTTAATGACATTTTCTTAACCACAGATACTGGTGATTCTGTGCTGCTTGTCCTATTGGACATTATAGCTGCCTTTGACACCATCGACCATGAGATCCTCATTGTTAGGTTGAAGCAGTGGGTGGGCATCCCAGGGTCAGCCTTCATTTGGTTCAGATCCTACCTCGCTGACAGATCCTTTTGTGTCTCCATCAAGGATTTTAGTTCTGCAGCAGCAGAGTTTAAATGAGGGGTTCCGCAGGGGTCCATCCTGGGTCCCCTCTTATTTCACTTCTACGCCGATGACTGTCAAATTTACTTCCCCCAAGACACAATGGTACATGCTCTATTCAACCTCTGCTCGACTGCCTGGCTGACATCAGGGACTGGATGGCTTTAAATTTCTTAAGTTGCAATGAAAAGAAGTCTAAAGTCATGTTGTTCCCTCCCAACGACACGATCACAAACCACTGCAGCGACTTCTCCGTTCTAACCCTGTCAAAAAAACAAAACAAAGAGTCACTAATCTGGGAGTGATAATGGACCCTTCCCTGAAACTTAACAATCATGTAAACATGATTGTTAAATCATGTTTCTTCCAACTGATGCGGCTGTCTAAACTGAAGCCCATATTATCCAAAAATAACCTGGAGACAGTGATACATGCATTCATTACATCTAGGCATGATTACTGCAATTTGCTCCTGTTTGGTATCAGTCAGACCTCCATTACACGACTACAACTGGTCCAGAATGCAGCAGCCCAATTTTTAACCAGTACAGGCAAAAGAGAGCACATTACTCCAGTTTTGGCCTCACTGCACTGGCTAACGGTTCACCTTCGAATCCAGTTCAAAATACTCCTGTATGTCTACAAATCGCTAAACAGTTCCCCCCCCCATCTCTCGGATCTGCTACAGCCGTATGTCCCACTATGTTCCCTGAGGTCAGCGGACCAGTTGCTCCTCACAGTTCCAGGAACTCATCTTAAGCGCAGAGGTGACAGGCCTTCTTTGTGGCAGGCCAAAGACTTTGGAACGAGTTACCTCTTCTTGTCAGACAGGCCCCCTCCCTCTCGGTTTTCAAGTCCCGTTTAAAAACCCACTACTATTCAGTAGCTTTCAACACCAGAGCATCTGTGTTTTGAACCTGTATGCTCCACACTGGCTAGTCGTCATATTTATTATCTGCATCGTTTTTATGTCTTTATTCTGATTTACTTCATTTTGTATATTGCTTTGTGTGTTGCCTGTTTTTCTGTCTGTACAGCACTTTGGTTGGCCTTGTCGCTGTTTTAAGTGCTCTATAAATAAAATGGCATGGTATGGTATCTATCTAACCCTTGCATGGTGTTCATGGTCTGTTCTGCTTTTTGCATCATCTCCTAACGTAAGTCCTTGCTGCACCGTCAGAACTTTTGTTTTATTTTTGTAAAAGAAATCGTTATTATTTTACTCCCGAGTCTCCTGCTCTCTGCCTGCACGTGGGTTTGACATTAACAACCAGATCATGTCAGAATGCCCAGAACAAAGACTGAACCCAGCAGCCTGTCAGTTCCTCGGGGAGCCCGCATCCAAGGAACATCAGCAACATCAGCAACATCAGTCCCTGAAGCAGCTATGCTTCCTACAGTCCCTGAAACAGTCACACCTCCTACAGTCCCTGAAGCAGTCATGATTCTTCAGCCAGTGAAGCAGCAGAACTCACCTCAGCCAGTGAAGCAGCCTAACCCACCTTCCTGTGTCTGCACAGGGTTTGACCATGACTCTTCACACTCCAGTGTATCCATGGGTGTCGGGAACGACGCCCCACACTCTTGTATCTCCGTGGGTGTCAGTAACCATGACCTTTTTCTACCATGCCTCTCTGTGGGTGTCGGGGACAATGACTTGTTTCCTTGGAGCCTCTTTGTGGGTGTCAGGGACAATGACCTGTTTCCGTCAAGCCTCTCCATGTGTGTCGGGGAGAACAACCTGTTCCCTCCTAGCCTCTCTATGGGCATTGGGGACAATGACCTGTTCCCATCAAGCCTTTTCATGAGCATCAGGGGCGATGACCTGTTTCCTCTGAGCTTCTCAGTGGATGTCAGAGATGACAAACTCTCCCTGGTTTCCACGCCAGCTGCAGACTCATCAGTTTCATCGCCTGCTATAGATCTGTTGGTCTCATCATCTGCTGCAGATCCTTTGGTCTCATTGTCTGCTGCAGCTCCTTCCTCTAACTTGCCAGCTGCAGTCCGCTGAACAAACTCACCTCTACCTGTGGCTCTCATCACAGGTTCACCCCTATTTGTAGCTCTCATTGCTGGTTCGCCTGTACCTGCAGCTTTCATTGCTGGTTCACCTGCAGCTGCAGCCTCTCCAGTCATCACTTCGTCAGCAGCCGCAGCCTCTCCAGTGACCTCTTCACCTGCAGCCGGTGGCCGCAGCCTCTCCAGTGGCCTCTTCACCTGCAGCCGGTGGCCGCAGCCTCTCCAGTGGCCTCTTCACCTGCAGCCGGTGGCCGCAGCCTCTCCAGTGGCCTCTTTACCTGCAGCTGGTGGCTGCAGCCTCTCCAGTGGTCTTTTCATCTACAGCCACAGCTTTTCCGGTGGTGTCTTCGCTTGCAGCTGCAATCTCTCCAGTGGCCTCTTCATTTGCTGCCGCAACCTCCCCGATGGTATCTTCACCTCTCTGTTGCGACCTCCCTGGTGGTCTCTTCACCCCTTTACAACCTGAATCGAGGAGAGAATATGTGGACACCACTCCTACCCAAGGATGGACAATCTCCTGGCCGCCCACATGAAATATTGGGTATTGGTGTTTATGCCTTTTTGTTGTTCCCAGGTTCCTACCTGCCAGTTTTGTTTTTTTCTTACTTTGTCCTTGGTGTCCCCTTTTTTGTCCCTTCCATCCTGTTTCCTCCCCCCTCAAGGTATGGGTGCCATACCTTGAGGGGTTTGGGGGTCATGAGACTATTCTGTCTGTCTTGTGTTTTTCTACACCTCCCTATGTTTTTCTCTCCCTCGTGTTTCTGCTCCTGTGCACACCTGTCCTGAGTTCTAATCACTCCAGGTGTTTCCCACCCTGTCTCATTAGTTTCTGTATTTACTCTGTGTGTTTTCACTCCCCTGGTATCTGGGCAATATTTATCTATCTAGCTAACCCTTCCACAGTGTTCATGGTCTATTCAGCTCTCCGTGTCATCTCCTAATGTAAGTCCTCGCTGCTCCGTCAGCACCTTTGTTTTGTTTTTGTAGGATAAATCATCATTATTTTATTCCTGAATCTCTTGCTCTCTGCCTGCAAGCGGGTTTGCCATTAACAACCAGATCATGTCAGAGAACAAAGATATAAGGGAGTTTTACCAGTGAAGGTTTTGTAATTAAACCGGTACCAGTGCATCAGTCTACCAAAATGAAGTGATGGCCATGTACCAAATGAATACAGATGAAGTGGTGACTGAATGGAGCACCTGTGACAAAACGTACTGCAACAGGGTAAATGATGTACAGTGTTTTGAAAAATATTTTGGGGTCAATGATGTCACCATAATCTAAGATAGGGAGGGTTGTAATTTAGACCATTTTGTGTTTAGCAAAATGACTAAAAGATGAATTGTTGTAATACAGGAAACTGGTTCTTGATTTGGAGTATTGTATTGATATAAATGTCAAAGAGGGTGAACTGCCCAACCAGATACCTACAGTAAGTATCTTTCCTAAGAGCTGATAAGGTGCAATGCTGTACTGATAGAGGAATGATATTAGGATGGCAATATATTAGAGGTAGATTATGATCAGTTATAGCTGAGCTGAGTATATGATTACAGTCAGTGTTTTTATACATAAAGCCGGAGCAAATCCAAAGATAAAAAAAAAATAAAAAATAAAAAAAACCAAGAGCAACCCAACTTTTGTTCTTTTAGTTGAAGATGTTTTGCTTCCCATCTGAGAAAAGATTTTTGCAATTCAAAAAGTTGAGAGTGCAGAATTTAGGTTTTAAACGGCACAAAATATAATTTTATTCAAAACTTAAATTAAAATAAAACTTGTGGAACTTGTGGTAAAATACCCTCTACTATGTTTGACAGAATTCTACTGTAAAAGAATAACTAGAGTGTCTAAGAACAGTCCTTTGGTGAAATGATGACAATGGTTCTTTAAAACTTATTACGGTATTTTATTTAAAACCTGAAACTGGCCGTCACTTGTGCGCTGACCAACTCACCAATCTTTAACCTGTCTCTGAGCCAGTGTATTGTGCCCACCATCTTCAAGACCTCCACTATTGTCCCCATCCCAAAGACCTCTGCAGCATCCTACCTTAATGGATTTCGTCCCATAGCACTCACATCTGTCATCATGAAGTGCTTTGAGCAAATATCAAGACTCATATCCATATGGAAGACAATTGTGCATTTAATAATGTATGTATTTAACAATTTAATTATGTATTTAATATTTAAAGTGCACATTTCATTATTATGTATTTATTTATTTCACTTTGTCACATTCCGTCCTCCATTTATCTATGCCTCCCTCCTTGACACCATGGACCCCTACAGTTCGCATACACAGCAAACAGGTCTACAGATGATGCTGTTGCTTTAGCAGTTCAGACCTCCCTCAGCCACCTGGAGAAGGAAAACACCTATGTAAGAATGATCTTCAATGACTACAGTTCAGCATTCAACACCATAATCCCCTCCAAACTGGTTTCCAAGCTCACCACATTGAGCCTGGAGAAGTTCATCTGCTGCTGGATACAGGACTTCCTCACCAACAGACCACAGGAAGTGAGAATTGGCTGTCACCTCTCCTCCACACTAGTTCTCAGCAGCGGTACACCTCAGGGCTGTGTCCTCAGTCCACTCCTGCACTCTCTTTTTACACATGACTGTACCGGCAAGCACAGCTCTAACGTCATCCTGAAATATGCTGATGACACCACCATCTTGGGCCTCATCATCAACAATGACGAGAGTGCCTACAGACACGAGGTGAAATCACTGACCAGCTGGTGTCTGGGAGATAACCTTTCTCTAAATGTCAGCAAAACAAAGGGGATGCTAGTGGACTTCAGGAAACAGCATGGAGGCCAGCATTCCACCATCAACATAAACAACGCTGAGGTGGAGCAAGTCAGCAGCTTCAAGTTCCTTGTCAGTTAAATTACTGAGGATCTGTCCTGGACAGACACTTGATCAAGAAAGCCAGTCAAAGATTTTACTTCCTAAGAAGACTAAAGAAGTTTGGTACAAACACCAGCATCCTCACAAACTTCTATAGATGCACCATTGAGAGCCTGTTGACAGGCTGCATCACAGGGTGGTATGGGAACTGCACCAGTCAGAGCCAGAAAGCACTACAGAGGATGTTGCAAACAGCAGAGGACATCACTGGTAGCAGTCTCTCTTCACCATCCAGAACATCTACCACAGCTGATGTCTGCGTAAAGCACGCAACATCGTTAAGGACCACACCCACCCAGCACAAGAACTCTTCCATCTACTGTACTACCCTCAGGCAGACAATACAGAAGTCTGTTATCGTGCACAAAAAGACCAAAGGACAGCTATTATCCACAAGTTGTTAGATTACTAAACACTCAATAAATAACACTGAACAACCGGCAATAACTTTGCACCAAGCCACATCTGTGACAACTAATATGACTAATATTAGCTTGTGACAGCTAATAGCTTTATTATTTTTTGCTGCTTAACAAAGTGGTTGTATCATGTATGTCACTACCTTATCATCATAATTCAATCTCAATGTCACTCGCTACCTGTACAATAACCTGTCACACAACCTGTGTAGTTTGTTAGTTATGTGCAATATATATATTAGGTGCATTTTAGCTTATTGACCTTGAAACACTTACTCATACAAATTCACCCTGCTTGTACGGTTAAAATTCTACCATGTTTACTATTTTCTCTTTAGGACCTTGTAAACATTATAATTACTTTTTCACTCTTTGGTACTTTATTTTTGTACCCTTATTGCATGCTTTAGTATTTCTTGTTTGTTCTTTTGTTTTTTAGCAAGTCAAATCGGTTCTGCTCATCCTGAACATTTCATTGAACTGTTAACCTTGTGTTAACCTTCCATATGACAAATACACACAACTTGAGCTGTGGCTCCCCAAATTTCTACATAAAAGCCATGAAAACATTTAAAGAGTTTATAACCATTTGAGGGCTAAGTTACTCAAATTAATTAAAATATATATAAAATACATCACATCAGACAAATAATAATAAATAAAAAAAATCCAAATAAGTATCACTACATTTGCATCACTGCAGGTGTTTAGGTCCACATTACATATTTGATTTCCAGTTTTCTTCCAGGGATCATGTCTTCTCGCCTCTCGTTTTCCTCTCAGACTCTGGTGGATGTTTGCAGACAGCTGCCTCAGATGAAGGTGCCCGAGCTTGTGGTCAGCCTGGTGGCTCTTGCTGTTCTAATTGTGGTCAAAGAAATCAATGCATGCTACAGGCAGAAGCTCCCTCTGCCCATCCCCATAGAGCTCATAGTGGTAGGTCATTCAAACAGCTGGTTGTGTCCAGCAGGGGACATAACCACATATTTTACCTGACTAAGGGCTGGTTGGAACTTTCCATTGAAGAGTGCATAAATGTATGAAAAGTAATGATTCACCCAGAGTACTTAAACTATCTGTGCTTTTACATTTTTACTGACAGATTATAGCAGCAACACTCATCACCCACTTCTGTGGACTCCCTGAGACATACGGTGTGAATGTAGTTGGAGAGATTCCCAGTGGGTGAGTTCGTTTTGTGGGCCTGTAATGTGTCTGTCAGACAAGACAAATCTCACGGTTTGTGACAGCTGGAAGTGCAGTGCTTTTGAGATTAAAAAGCAACTAAGAAACAAGAACACAATGTGTGCTTGTAACACTTTCTAAAAAAAAATCATGTCATGGAAATCCCTGCCTTAGTAGAGTTTTTGTTGCAGTGAAAGAAATCTTAAAGTTTTCTCTATTTTAACAGCTGATTACTGTTTTGATGGAAGTAAATGTTTTGTTTTCTGTATAGCAGTAAAACATATTTATATAAAGCCTGAAGCACTCATATTTTTTTGTCTCACTCCAGGCTCAAGGCCCCTCGTGCTCCTGATCCAACATTTTTTTCACAGATTATAGGTGATGCCTTTGCTGTGGCCATTGTGGGCTACGCCGTCAATATTTCTCTCGGCAAAACATTCGCCCTCAAACATGGCTACAAGGTGGACAGCAACCAGGTAAGAACATGTGATAAACAGCTGACAGCATCATTTGAGCTGAGTCAGTGCCTGCATGTTGACTTCAATCTTTAAACCCTCACTGTTGGTCATGAGTGTCACATAAGCAGAAAAATGTCTCAAGCTGACTCTGATATGTAGTACCTTTTTTTTTTGACCACGTGATGGCATTCTCCCGTGACAAAAAATCCACCAGCCGCCACTTCTCTGATTAAATATTATCTTGACAGCAGACACAGAATAAGGTTTACCAGTATATAACTTCACAGATTCTGTGCTCACTTTATTCATATAAAGTTCTTTTTTATTTAAGTATTTATTTGGTTTGCAGTCATGGAACTCTCAGAAAAGTAAATTATGATGAAAACAATATAAAAAATCACCAACTTATAAAAAGAAACAGTATTTCTGTACTGAAGAGCATGCATGATATTAGTCCTCACACTTGTAGAAATATGTAATGTATTGATTCAAAGAAGCAACATCAAAACAACTTTTTGACAATTCTTTTCTATAGAAAATGAGCTTTTTAAAGGTTTGTTATAAAAACAAATGGTTCTACATTTTCTTACACAAATATCAAACAATATGCATTTTATCAAGAATTAACATTCTAAAATGATACAAAAATAAACATATTTGTAATAATTAATAATAACTGTTTTTCTTTATTAACTTGTCTTAAATTATATTAGTCCATAGTTGTATTCATTATATATTTGATGATTTAACACCTGCATGATGTTAATTTGATTTATATTTGTATGTTCATTAGTTGTTGTTGTTGTTGTTGTTGTTGTGTGTTTTTTTTTCTTCTGATTCCTTTTCTCTTGTATTAAGCCTTTAAATTGTTTTTCATTTGGAATAATGTTGCCATCTGGACCAGGACTCCCTGAAAGAAGAGAATATTTATCTTAATGTAACTCCTTGCAAAATAAAGGTTAAATAAACTCAAACGTGTGCATAAAAGTTTTTATTCCCCTTGTGAATCCGTTGCGTTCATGCATTACTGTATCTGCATTGTCTTCAGCTCAACAATGACTGACTGAACCTGGTTCACAGAAACCCTTTTTAGATGATGCACTTTTTTGTTAAAATGTTTCTTTAAAAGATGATGATGATGAAATTTTTTCTTTGGGCTCATTTTTACAAATGAGAAAAAATATAGTAAGTCGCAGGTTTTAGAATACAACCAGGGTATACGTTTTATTAAACGAGTCTAAACGAAAATGAAAGAAAAGCGAGTTTTCTCGTGTTCCTACTTTGCTGTTGTTGCCTTATTGTATTTTGCTAACACACAATAATTAGAGTTTAAGCATCATTGTCTAAATTTTTTGTTATTTGTGCTCATGAACAATGTTCTCCTGGATATAAATGCATCAAATGTCAGGTTTTGTTTCGTGGCAGATCAAGACAGAAGAACCCAATTGCGCAGGCAGGACTCAGGAGGCAAATGTATAAAATAAAAATGCTTTTAATAATAACAATAATAAATCAAAAGGGCTGACATGGCAGCAAAACTTACATGGCCTCAAGAACACGATCATTAGCAGGACAAGACAGGACATACCCAACGACAAACCGACAATGACAGAACTGACAGACAGACTTTATATACACACAACCAAGACATGACACAGGTGACGATAATCAAAACAATCAATTCAGACACAAGGGGGAACAGACAGGGGGAAGGCCCACTAGATGGTGCCATCCTGACATCAAAAAAACAACCTCCAGTGAACACAAACAGTACTTTTGTGTTATTTTTGTGCACACTGTAAGGATATTTTTTCTCACATACTGTAATTGTTTACTATAGACATTCACACAGTTGTGTTTGTGTGTGTGTGTGTGGGGGGGGGGGGGGGGGGGGGGGGGGGGGGGGGTGAGAAGCTTGTGAACTGAATCTTTTGTACTGTTCACATGGTTTGGAAACACTCAGCTCCTCTAAACCTGTTTAACCAATAAAGCCCAACAAGCATTATGAAATAAAATGTCTTAAATATAATAACAAATAGTGACACTGATGACAATTCTCTGGTCAAAATGAACAATTAAGTGTCAGTAATGAGACAAAAGTTACAAAACCAGGACAAATACAAGCATCAAGTGGGAAGCTAAAACTACTTTGTAATTTATATTTCATTAGCTTCTTAGCCTCTATACTAACATGTCAACCTTGATCCAGCAACAGTGCTCTTACACTATAGACCTATTTCTAAACTGCCTTTTCTGTCAAAAATTTTAGAGTTAGTTGTTTTTAATCAACTTAAAAGATTTTTAACTGCCAACAGCATTGGTGAAAAATTCCAGTCTGGTTTTAAATCAGGCCACAGCACAGAGACAGCCCCTTTTAAGAGTTTTTAATTATCTTCTTTTGACTGCTGATTCAGGAAGATCTGCAGTTTGTGATTTTAGACCTTTCTGTTACCTTTGAGACTGTGGACCACAACATCTTGTTGTCACAACTTGAGCAGGTGGTCGGTATCAAAGGTACAGTTTTATTCTGGTTTAGATCCTACCTGACTGACAGGAGTTTTTCTGTTTATTTACGGGAATGTTCATCATCAGCAGCTCCTCTAATCTGTGGTGTCCCTCAAGGGTCTATTTTAGGTCCACTGCTTTTTACTCTTTACATGTTGCCTTTGGGATCCATGTTTAGAAAACACAATATGCCTTTTCACTTCTTTGCTGATGATATTCAGTTGTATTTGACCATTAAGTCAGACAAGGTCACTCCACTGAAACCACTCTTGAACTGTCTAAATGACATTAAAGTTTGGTTAAAACTAAATTTCCTGAATTTAAATGAAAATAAAATGGAAGTCATCAGCTTTGGTAAATGTAAGGCCCTTGACACTCTTGGCCTCTTGGCTTCATACAGCCAGTCCACTGTCAGGAATCTGGGGGTTATTTTTGATAGTGCTTTTAAAATAGATTGTGAAATCCATTTTTTTCCAACCAAGACACATTGCCACGGTGAAGTCTTGTCTCCCTTTCAGAGACCTTGAAAAGGTGCTTCATGCTTTTATTACCGCTCGTTTGGACTACTGTAATTCATTAGATAAATCATCTTTACATCTTTTACGATCTGCCCAGAACGCAGCAGCTAGTCTTTTAACAGCAACTAGAAAACATGAACACAGAATCCTTGTCCTAGCTTCTTTCCACTGGCTTCCTGTCCAGGTCTGAATTGATTTTAAGATTTTATTGCTTGTTTTTAAAGTCTTAAAAGGTCTGGCCCCATCATATTTATGTGATCTTATTAACACCTACACTCCTGTAAGAGCACTCTGGTCTACCAACCAGTTCCTCTTAGAGGTCCCCAAATCCAAACTGAAATCCAGAGGTGATCGGGCTTTCGCGGTTGCTGCTCCAAAACTGTGAAACAGTTTACCTGATCATTTAAAAACTGCTCAGACTTTTGAGACTTTTAAATCTTTGCTCAAGACTTATCTTTTTCCCTGGCATTTGATTCTTGCAGAGTCTGAGAACAAGAGCTGATTTTCCTTGTAGTTGAGTGCTGTATTTTATTGTTGCTTTTGTTTCCTGAGTGACACAAATGTAATTTTTTCCCCTCTTTTTTTATTTGACTTAAATGTAAAGCACTTTGGTTAACTTTTCTTGCTTTTATGTGCTATAGAAATAAATTGACATTAAGGAGGATCTTGTCGTTTGGTTTTCCAGGAGCTGGTTGCAGCAGGGCTTTGCAACGCCATCGGTGGTTGTTTCCAATGTTACGCAGTGACTTCCTCTCTGTCTCGGAGTCTTGTCCAGGAGAGCACCGGGGGCAAGACACAAGTAAAACCAACCTGAACATACATGATCATTGTGCGGTTCTGTGAAAATTTAGACACTAAATGTAAACTGAGGCTTTTGAATTTGGTCCCAACCATAATTTAGAGTAATCCACTTTATGAATCAGACTTTTGAATCATCAGCAACTAAACTTAAATTCTCACAAAGACTTAGAGATTAACGCCTTTAGCAGCAGTAACTCTGTTTACATTTGATCCTGGTGTTTGAGACATTTATTCTTTGTGTGTGTGTTGTCAGGTTGCAGGGGTGGTCTCTTCAGTTATTGTGCTCATCACAATTTTGAAAATAGGCTCCCTGTTTGAAGACCTCCCCAAGGTACTGCTGCTTTCTTGTCACATATTTTCTCACAAGTCATCAGTACCACCCAAGGCAATTTAACAAAAAGTGTGCGGGCATGTGTGTGGATTCATCAGTATGTGTGTGTGGGTGTTTTCTCAGGCTGTCTTAGCCACAATAGTGTTTGTGAATTTGAAAGGAATGTTTAAGCAGTTCATGGACGTGCCGTTTCTATGGAAAACCAACCGGGTTGACTTGGTGAGATTTAATCTGTCTAAACACTCCACCTGCTTTGTTGCTGATTGTTGCACTGCTGACCTCACTGACTGTAATGTCTCACCATGTAGCTGGTGTGGCTGGTAACATTCATCAGCACCGTCCTGCTCAACCTGGACTTGGGTCTGGCTGTCTCCGTTGGCTTTTCTGTGCTCACTGTTATCTTCAGAACACAACTGTAATAACCTCACCATTCATTATAGCTTATCAATGAGGAGAATGCAAACCATCGCAGCTCTCTGAAGGTCAATGGTTTTGCTCTAACAAGGACGTTTGAACTCTTTCAGACCGCGCTACTCTATCCTGGGCAATGTGCCGGGCACTGACCTGTATCTGGACACAGAGAAGTACAGGGCGGTAAGAAAACTGCTCAAAATCAAATATTTCCGTAGAGAGTTAACTAAAGAAAGGAATTTCACTGTTATTACCGTATTTTCCGATGTATAAGTCACATCAGTCAAAAAAAACATCATGAAGAGAAAAAAAACCCAGATAGAAGTCACATTTATTATGCGTCACCGCTGACCCGTGACATTTATTATCAGGTTATTTAATGGTCAAAACAGCTTCATTTAGCCTGGACGGCGCGGCACCATCCATCCATCCATTGCGGCCGGAGCAGCTAGCTCTCCAGCGTTCCTCCTCCTGCACCAGCTGAGTGAAGCAAGCTGACACGAGAGGACTCGCTGTTGAAGTTCTTAGAAATTTAACAAGATTAACACATAAAAACAATAATTTGTTTGCTCAACATTATAGAAAATATGTTTCTCAGTTTAACTTCTCCTTAATAAATGTGCTTTCATGGCCAAAACAGCTTCATTTCGCCTGGGCGGTGTGGCACCATCCATCCATCGCGACCGGAGCCACAAACTCTCCAGCGTTCCTCTGCCTGCACCAGCTGAAAGAATGAAGCGAGCGCGCACAGGAGGACTTGCTGTTCCAGTTCTTTGAAATTTAAAGCATCAGTCAAAAATTGCATTATGAATATGGGAAAAAAAAACGTATATAAGTCACTTTGGCGTATAAGTCGCAGGACTGACAAATCTATGCAAAAAACTGTGACTTATACACCGGAAAATACTGTATTTGTGATACTTGGTCATATAATTAGTTCTATATGTTAATCATGGTAAATGAAAAACATATTGCTTCATTTTCAAAGAAAATACCAAACTTTTGTGAAGCATTTTCAATTGTTTTTTTATGCTTATTTCAACAAGTTTTTTTTTTGAGTGTATGAATTTATTGTTTATCTGTAAACAGCTTTTATTTTAGTTAATTCATCAGAAAGTTAATTGTTGCATTTTTAGCTGCAAAAAATAAAAGGGGGGAAATGTTCAATGCTTTATAAAATACTTCAAACCAAATCATACTTCTGTCACCCCATGCGGAATACTTATTCATTCTGTGTCACCAAGTTAGGATTAATAAAATAAAATTGTGACATCGAATGATGACAAAGTGGTCTCGTCATCATCAAAGGTAAACTTGTAAGTTGTACTCAAGGGTAAATAATGTGGCAAATTCACACTGTGTGTACTGTGCTGCAGGAAAAATACCCCAAACCATGTAAATCCAGGGTAAATAAAAGTAAACTATAATTACAAGATGCAAAAATAGAAATAAAAAAAAATGTTGTTTTTTTGTCTGAACTTTGTCCCTGCAGGCCCAAGAGATTCCAGGAATAAAAATAATTCGCTCATCAGCAACTATCAACTACACAAACGCCGAGTTGTACTTAGAGTTCCTTCAGGAGAAGGTGTGTCCGTGTGTGTGTGTGTGTGTGTGTGTGCGTGTGTGTGTGTGTGTGTGTGTGTGTGTGAAAGTGAATGAATGCATCCATAAAAGTGTGAGGCAATCTCTTCATAGCTGTCAGCACACGGCTTTTTGTTATTTCTCATTCTAATTTCACTTTTTCTATCCCAATGATGACGCTTGGACTTTTCAGAGTGGAATTGAAATCGAGAAGCTGCAGGCCGAGAGGAAGAAACAAAAAGCAAAGCAGAAGTGTGAGCAAGAGAAAGAGAAAACAAAAAACAGGAAGGATGCAAAGATGAAGGTGTGCTATCCAACTCTGAAGAACCTTTTGACTCGTTTCAGCTGGAGCTTTCCTGATAACCGTTTGTGCCTTTTGACAGAAAAAAGACATGAGCCATCATTCGAATACCACCAACAGCGTGAAGGATTTACAGCCGAGTGAGAGGAATGTATTTACAGTAAACATGGATGAGAGGAATCAGAACCACGTAGCTTTAAAGCCCATGGACTCAACCATAAACAGTTTTAGCAAAGGCAAAATAAACAGGGCTTACCAAACTGACTCAAACATGTCCGACTCCGACTCAGACACATGTGACCCCAGCTATGAAGACATCACAGAGATTTCCCATCAGGGTGGAGGAGGTGAAAGGGCCTCTGGGTCAGACATTCACAACGTCATCCTGGACATGTCCACAACCAGCTCTGTGGACACGGTCACCGTGAAGATGCTGAAAAATGTATATCTGCTATGAAACCTTGAAAATGTTAGAATTAGCCACTGTATCGATGGAGCACTCATTAGTTTCTCATATATTCCAGATTTTCAGGGACTTCAGAGCAGTTGATCTCAACGTGTATCTAGCTGGCTGCCAAGGTAAAGAGCGCACACCAGTCCCAAAAAAGGTTTCGATAATGAACACATGAAGGCTTCGGCCTCAGTGGCGCCATGCTCTTCCCTTTGGCCCATGAAACTCAAACATAATTATATAATTAGAATATTTTTCCCTCTTGTGATCAAGCATCCCTTTTCTGTGTTTACTTGTGGTCCAAGCGTAGCCTGTGTGGTGGAGCAGCTGGAAATGGCTAACTTCTTCTCGGAGTCCGTCCCAAAGAGCAGACTGTTTGTCTCAGTTCATGACGCGGTGCTTTACATTCGCATCAGACTGGGACAGAGCGACTTCACGACTGTGAGTATATCATTATCATCCGCTGCTGAAGGGCTGAGGCGGGCGATAATGTTTTCCTATGTGAACAAGTGTCTGTGTGTCTGTTACCAAAACATCTCAAGAACCAATTAACTAATTTTATTAAAAGTTGCAGAAAGTACCGGTAATCACTGAACATTTACAACTGAATAACCTTTTGGAGCCAACTACTTTTAAGATGGCTACAGCCTGCAAGGTCTTTGCTTCAAACTTTAGCATAAAGCATTTTACTCAAACATGTCTGTTATCAAAATATCTCATGAACCACTAGATGACATTTGATGAAAATTGCAGAAAGTAATCATACCATACCATACCATACCGTACCAGTTTATTTCTAAAGCACTTAAAATACAACAAGCAGCCGTCCGAAGTGCTGTACAGAATTAAAATCAAACAAAAAACAGTAAAACAATAAAAACACCTAAATATATATAAAAAAAAATCAGAACATCATAAGTAAAAGAATACAACATTAAGACACAGATGCTAACTCACTCTAGGTTAAAAGCCAAAGGGAAAAAAAAAGTGTTTTTAAACGAGTTTTAAAAACAGAAAGTGACGGGGCGTGCCTGACCTCCAGCGGCAGCTCATTCTACAATTTAGGAGCCAGAGCTGAAAAGGCTCTGTCTCCTCTGGATTTATAAAAGGTTTTCGGGACTGCTAAAAGCATCTGGTCAAAGGATCTAAGAGCACTTGATGGTATGTAAAGGTGACGCAGTTCAGACAAATAAGAAGGACTAAGATCATTCAAAAACTTAAAAACAAACAATAAAACTTTAAAATGAATTTGAAACTGGACGCCAGTGAAGGGAAAAGGGTGGATTGCTCTCTTCAGGTTGAGGGTGAGGTTCTGCCTCAAGTAGAGGAGGTCAAGTATCTCGGGGTTTTGTTCATGAGTGAGGAAAGTATGGAGCATGAGATTGACAGATTGATGCAGCGTCTGCGGTAGTGCAGACTCTGTGCCGGTCCGTTGTGATGAAGAGGGAGCTGAGCCTTAGGGCAAAGCTCTTTGTTTACTTTACCGGTCGGTCTATGTTCTACCCTCATCTATGGCCACAAACTTTGGGTAGTGACTGAAAGAATGAGATTTAGGATACAGGCGGTTGAAATGAATGTCCTCCGCAGGGTAGCAGGACTCTCCCTTAGAGATAGGATGAGAAGTTTGGTCATCCAGGAGACTCAGAGTAGAACTGCTGCTCCTCCACATTGAGAGGAGCCAGTTGAGGTGGTTCAGGCATCTGATTAGGATGCTTCCTTTGGGTGTATTCAACTGGGCGGAGAAACCCTGGAGAAGACCCAGGACACACTGAAGAGACTACGTCTCTCGGTTGGCCTGAGAACGCATTGTGGTCCTCCAGCTCAAGCTGGAAGAGGTGGCTGTGGAAAGAATGTCTGGGCCTCCCTGCTCAAGCTGCTGCCCCCACGGAACATGTGGAAGATAATGGATGGATGGATGGATTAACTTTTAGAGTCAACCCAGTACAAGATGGCAGCCACAGCTAACTGACAACTGTCAACATAAACATGGCTATGCCTTATGACAAATTTGCAGATATTGAGCTAAAATTATGTGTGGAAGGGGCACAACACAAGCTGAATGTGTCATGTTGACATATCACGTAAGACTGTGCATGACATTTTTTTCAAGGTCTAACCAAACAACTCTGTTATAAAACAAAAAAAGATGTTTAAAGTTTAAAACTTTGGAGTGAAAGGTGGCAGGAGATATGCACTCCTTTAGCAATGTTGGGCTTTTAATCACAAGTTTTCCACATTACAGTACTGCAGAAAAAAAAAATGTGAAGCTTCTTTTTCCACAGGTCTAATTTCACATTCCCTCCCACAGGATGTTAGTTGTGATACCCACATGTGACCAGCAGGGGTCACATAGCTTCAGCTCCAGCACTCTTCATCCTCCTCCTCCTCCTCTTCTTGGACAGTGCCTGTTCTATTCCTCACCATTGGTCGCCGTTGCCTCCTCCCCTTTCAACGGTGGAGAAATGCGCCACTTCGACATGGCGGCTGGTTGCCACGGAAACACAAGGGAGCTGTTGCCACGGCAACAAGCTTTTTATGGTATGGTCTGATGAGATGGCCAGCAGTACGTCACTGCAGCTCTCTCGCTCGGTGGCGCATGTGTGAGATAGAGAAGAAGAGAGGCAGGGGCTGAGTGGGAGAATGCAACACTGGACTAATGGGAGTCTGTATTTAGAGCCTGCATCAGAGGGTAGTGACTGGAAGGAGAAATTCATTGGTGAGAGGTGATGTGAGCCTGCAGGCCTCATTCTGTATTAGTGCATCTGTCCGTTGAAATTCTTGAGAAATAGAAACTACAAGTCAACCAGGAATGGGCAATAAAATCCTTATAAACACTGATATGTACTCCTGAAGAGTTCAGCTCTTCTATTGCCCCCATTTGCTCCAAAGTCCAGCAAGAATGGCAGATAAGGTGCAATCGCTTTTACATTTGAATGGCAAGGCAGCTTCCAACAAACTGTAGGGGCTTTTTTATATAGTCAGTATTCACAAGACCCTCCTCGTACATTTGAGCTCCTTTCTAGTATTAGGCTTAATCATTTACTAAATTAGCTATCAGACTAGTAACTGTTAAGGTAATCATTTCCATGTGTTGAAATAGGTCATTAAACGATCAGTTTTAAACTTTTCTCTGTTATTTTTTAATACTTGTGTTTGAAATGTATGAAACTTGCATTAAAGAGATGGTTCAGGTATTTCAAAGTCCGGTTATGTGGCAGGATTATGAACAGTTAATATCTTAGATAGCTCTTCGAACGACCTCATTTTGAAAAAAAAGTTAACTTCTGACCTGAAAGACGAAACGTATCTACATTTTTTTGCTTTGTTTTGTTTTGTGTTTTTTTGAATGTCCAGAGGATCAGATTGAACTTTTTTAGATTTTTCTACCTGGATTATTGAGCATGCGTCAGGTTAACTTCTGACCGTATCGACCAGCTAAAGGGTTGTCCGAGTGTGGTCAAGTGTAAACGTAAAACTTAAAACCGTCATCTTAAAACGAATAATGAAATGACAAGTCGTTTTTTTCATAATTTGATTTTTGATTGTCAATGAAAAAACAGTTGAACGAAAGGTACACGGACTTGGTCCCTATGCCTAAAATAACCATATAATTTAATTTAAATAGTTAAACAATGTAAAATTGAAGGTTTATAAAACAGCATTCTTATTACTTTAAGACAGCAGTAATCCACTTTTGTCTTGGCCATGAAAGACTAGCTGTTAGTTTGTCAACCAGGACAGAATTAAACGATTTCTTCAAAATTGAGGTCACTCAAAGAGCTATCTGCAAAAGACAAGATATTAATTACTCATAACCTTTCAGCAAACCCCAACTTTAAAACACCAAAACTATCCCATTAATGTGTCCAGTTTGAACTGTAAAAATAAACAAAGCTTTGAAATGCTTTTCATGTATCTGAGATATTTGGGCTTCACAAACTTCTTCTTTTTTTTTCTTAGTGAGTCAAATCAGTTCTTCTCATCCTGAACATTTCATTGCATTGTTGACCTCGTGTTAACTGCATACGACAAATAAACATAAGGACAACATGAATGTGAAATGGCAACAACTAAGACTAAACCACGTCTATTTTATATTCTTACAAGTGCAACGGTGTAAAATATGTATTGTGATCGAACCAGATGTTTTCTGTGCATAATTCCCGCGCATATATTTTACATGTATAAACATTAAACAATGAAAATAAAAACTTCCAACACATTAAACCCATCTTCATCTGATCATTTATTCTTTTTACATCCCCATAATTCAGTCTCCTGATGTTTATACAGTCCAGTCAAATGCTTCTGCCCTTCTTTTAATGTAGAAATAATCTCCATTATCCCATTCAAAAATTAACACTAATTCACAAACCTACAATACACGAGATACTTTAGTTAGTCTATAATACATAATTTGTAATGAAGCTGTGACGCATTGTCTGGTTGTGAATACAGTTTGATTTTTTTGTTTTTTATAAATGGAAGTCATATTTGTACATCTAATTCGGAGATCACATTTGGCAGAAATGAGCAGCCAAAGGCAGTGTGACATGTAAATGAAGGTAACACTGTAGAAGGTCCAACATGCATGCAAATACCCACACAAACAGACGCATGGGCACACATGCAGCTATCAACAGATACACTAAGACAATAAAGTATCAGCAGCGGACATGAGGTGTTTCATGTGAGAGGTTTACCCAGAATCTTTTCGGTTTCTGCTCAACCACAACAAAAATAACTGCACCCTGATGGATTTGAGACGGATGAGGTTGTTTAAACACTGGCAAACAGAAGATTTAGAAGCTACAGCAGACACGTAACACCTACTAAACAAGATGGGACATGGCTGCACAACAGCATGGGAAAGGAAAGAGAGAGGAGAGCCTGCGAGGTAGAAAACTGAGCAGAGGGTATGAGTGTTTAGGTGAAGGGGCGTGTTTCTTTTCTTTTTTAGTATACTCTTTGGCCCACGTGTCCAAGGTTGTTCTTTATTTTTGTCATTTTAAATGTGTGCAATGTGTTGGTAATCTGAGTTTGATTCGTGTAGTGCGCATGGTTTTGTGTATGTGCGTGTTGATGTCAAATCTCAGGGCATCAGATGACACTCTCAAAGAGTAGAGTACTCTTGGTTTCTTCGGGGGGAAGCAGTTTGGCCTCACTCTCTGGTGCCAGGTACTCCAGGTGGTGTCTGCCCCAGACTGGGGTGGTTAGGTGCTGCCACCGCTGCGTAGAAAAACAAGACAAAAGTTTTTAACTTCCTCTAATGACAAAATGAGCTGAGTAGTAGACACCAAAAGGACGGCAGTAACCAAGAAGGTGCACTGATACAAATTCATCAACTAAAGCAAACATAAAACATTGCATAAGTGTGGGTAAACTGACCTCACGGAGAGACCCTTTGCAGCGGAGTAGCTTGTAAAGAACAGTTACAGGAATACAGAGCATGGAGGACAGAGCCAGGGCCCATCCGAGTGCTTCGCCCCATATGGGGTATGTATACACTGTGTTGTAGGTCAGGGGCTTGTAGTTCACCACGTGGAATAGGAACACTCCCTAAACGAACACAGAAAAGCCTCTTTAGTTTTCCACTTGCAGGCAAAGCTTAGTGGAAAGCAGGCAAGGTTAGCACATACCACACAGACAAAAGGCGTGACGTAGGACCAGCACCACTTCATGTAGGGGAGGGGCTGGTAGCCAATCATACGAGCCACGTCGTCCATGAAACGGTCTGCGCCTGGCAGGTGGGACACGAGGAAGTTGTGGTAAAGCAAGTTTATATTTAACTAGCTACAACTGCGAGGTACTAACTCACCATAAACCCAGGCGATGACGACACATTCCCAGAAGGCCTGCCATAAGAGAGTGATGCCACTGGCTGAGTAGTAGTCAAACAGCTGGAATACATACATCCCTCCCTGGCAGAAAGTAGTCAACATTAAAACACATACAACTAATTAACAAGTTTACTCTTCTTGTTTTGGCACTGATCTGACTACAAATGAACCAACATATTTTGAAGAACACAACCAAATGACTTTTAAAAGCCTCACTGTACCTCAGTGACCATGGACATGTCAATAAAGAAGCAGATGACGCAGCAGATGGCTGCAACCACCTCCCGTCGCAAGGAGCTCAGGGCAGATTTAGGGGGCAACATGTCCATGATTCCAGTTATCAAGCCTTCCACCCCTACAAACTGAACAAAAAAACAACAATTTAATTAAAAAAATATTGAAATAGCAATTAAAAATACACATTGGACTTTTTGTTTCTGCCTGACTACAGGATTAACCTACTGATTGTGCAGTAACCATTCTTTTCTAACAAGCAGCAAATGTTGGATCTATTCAATGTCAAAAGCTAACCCTTGTTTTCGCAATACGTGCAAATGTACTTTGGAGGGAAAATATCTTGGCTTTCAGAATGAGCTTAGGGGATCACTACTGCGCAGCTGATTTTCCATCACCTTACAGAAAAGCAGTATGTTCTTGAGCAACTAGTCTGCGACAGGAAAAGAGTAAAACATGAGATGGAGTCGTAGCTGACGCAGAGACTGGAAAGTGAGAGTAAATGAATGGATTGGAGAAGACAGACGCTCTCTGTGTGAATCACACAGAAGGTCATTGACAAATCCCTGGGCTGTTAAACAATGGATGTGGGCTCTGGCTCAGACATTCAACAACAGGGTGCTAAGAAATATTATGCTAAAACTGGATGTGATTTATTTAGGCAAGTTTTTTTTTTTTTTTTTAAGTCACACTTGTGTTAAAGGAAGTGAGTCAGAAAATAAATTAAAAAAATTAGATTTGGTGCAAAAATGCAGAATGCAACACAGAACTAAATATAGAGGCGAGGATTATGTTAAAGCATGTTCCCTCCTGGTTAATGGGTTTCTTTCAAGTTAAAGGATGACGTCAGCGTTACCTGACTGTCCAGGCCCAGAATGAGCAACATGAAGAAGAACAGTGCTGCCCAGAGCGGTGCCAGAGGCATCAGAGTCACAGCTTTGGGGTAGGCTATAAAAGCCAGACCTGGACCTGCACATGAAGAAACACAGGACATCAGGAGTCAATGGCTCTCACCTTCAGTACTTACAGTAGCTCATTAGATTTTAGATGGTCACATGATCGGCAGGCTCACCACTTTCAGCTACCTTACTGATGTCCACCCCCTGTTCCGCAGCCATAAAACCCAGGACAGAGAACACGACAAAGCCAGCAAAAAAACTGGTTCCACTGTTTATAAGGGCCAGAACGAATGCATCCCTATAAAAAAATAGAAATAAAAAAAAACAATTAAAGACAATTGAAAATAGGGAAAAGACTGCTTAGAGGCACAAAAAAAAAACCCAAAACTAAATCATGATTGTATGACATAAGAGTGGTTATATAACATGCTCAAGACAAGCACGAGCACAGAGGAGACAGACCAGGACGGTAAATTAGGAATCAATAGCAATTTCTCTGGAAGCTGCTGTCTTTGTTGTTGTGGCAGGTAGAGAGTGAGGGGAAACAGGAGAGAGTGTACATCCACTAACCAGTCAGAGTGCACTTTAGAGCCACATTTTCTAATTGTTTATTAATGTCATCTGGGTCAACAGTGGAGGATGTTCAACATATTCCGACATGCAAATTCAACTTCTTTGACTTTCCTTCTTTTTTTGTTTTGCATTTCTGTAAATTGGCTGTACAAGTGTGTAGCTACTATTCTGATTATTTTAGTATGTTTACTTTCTTGGGCAATACAGATGGTTTCAATAGAGCACTGAGGTGATGCCATGGCAGTAAACATGTTGATGTATTGAAAGTGAGCCTCCTCCTGAACCAAGAAGCACTGAAGTTCTATTCATTATCCACAGAATCAACAACAGCTTTGTTATTTGACCGAGGAATGATTCTCTGTTTAACTGAAATGTCTGCTTGGCAACGTTAGCTGTAAATCCAGTCTGAGAGGAATGCATAAACAACAGCTGCATTAAGCAAGATCCAGAACTTAATATTCTAACTCAAATGCAGGTTTCACTTTTTTAAGAAAAAATTATAATTTTTAATTAACAACTGCATCAAAACAAAAAAAAAAATTACACATTACCAGACAGAAACCAGAGCTCAGTTAGGAAAGCAGTGGTGTTTCTAAGAAATGATAAAGATTCAAAGAAGTGGCTCTATGTGCACCTATAAAGTATTTTTTCCTCTTCATGTTAAACATAGTTTGACACTCACAAGGGTCATGTGAAGTCTCACAACGTGTCAACAGTTTATGGCACGTTTTGGAGCTGCACAGCTAGCATAATTTCAAAATGTTTAAATTGAGATACAGTATATGGTTTTGAAAGCAACTGAGCTAAGCTTTTAAATTTACATTACATACATTACTTTTAAATTACACATCACAAACTACAAAAAGGGTCAACTACGAGGCACGTGAAAGAAACAGAGCTGACATCCCTCAGAATGGGAATTCATCTTGTGACTACCAATTTAGGTCAAAAGAAGAGAATGTGTTTGGAGCAGAAGCTTCACGGTCTTCATTCTATAAGCATTCCAAACATGCATTCAAGTCCTGACAGTCACCAAAACAAAGTCCCAACTTCTTCTATGGAGCAATACAACCTCCTCATAAGGGCCTGCAGGTCTGGGCTGAACACGCAGCAGCAAAACAACAAACAGTTCAGTCTGCACTGACAAACGTTTTAATAGATTCTTAATGCACTTCTTCATTTCAAGAGCCTCTCCATACGTTTTATGTTACATTTCCTTGGAAATAAATTAGGTTTCTACAGAATCAGAACACATGGCCCTCCTAGAGGCACAAACCCTTTGAAACCAAATCTGTTAGAAAATACTTTAAATGGGAGCAACATGCCAGGAAGCCTTTTGGGGCCTTCATCATATTTCCTGTGCATGCTCTTTTAGAGCATTCTAAGGCTCATGTTTATGGTGGTATCAAGGGAACAGCACAGGCCTTAAAATAGAAACACTGAAAACCTGACTGAGGGTCCTTCTTAAGCTAAAAAAAGACAGTTTTATTATTATATTACAAGATCTCTACAAAATACAGTACCTTGCGAAAGTATTCGGCCCCCTTGAACTTTTCAACCTTTTGCCACATTTCAGGCTTCAAACATAAAGATATAAATTTTTATTTTTTTGTGAAGAATCAACAAGTGGGACACAATCGTGAAGTGGAATGAAATTTATTGGATGTGTCAAACGTTTTTAACAAATAAAAAACTGAAAAGTGGGGTGTGCAATATTATTCGGCCCCCTTGCATTAATACTTTGTAGCGTCGCCTTTTGCTGCAGTTCCAGCTGCAAGTCTCTTGGGGTTTGTCTCTATCAGTTTTACACATGGAGACACTGAAATTCTTGCCCATTCTTTTTGCAAAACAGCTCGAGCTCAGTGAGGTTGGATGGAGAGCGTTTGTGAACAGCAGTCTTCAGCTCTTTCCACAGATTCTCGATTGGATTCAGGTCTGGACTTTGACTTGGCCATTCCAACACCTGGATATGTTTATTTGTGAACCATTCCATTGTAGATTTGGCTTTATGTTTTGGATCATTGTCTTGTTGGAAGATAAATCTCCGTCCCAGTCTCAGGTCTCTTGCAGACTCAAACAGGTTTTCTTCCAGAATGGTCCTGTATTTGGCCCCATCCATCTTCCCATCAATTCTGACCATCTTCCCTGTCCCTGCTGACGAAAAGCAGGCCCAAACCATGATGCTGCCACCACCATGTTTGACAGTGGGGATGGTGTGTTCAGGGTGATGAGCTGTGTTGCTTTTACGCCAAACATATTGTTTTGTATTGTGGCCAAACAGTTTGATTTTGGTTTCATCTGACCAGAGCACCTTCTTCCACATGTTTGGTGTGTCTCCCAGGTGCTGGTGGAAAACTTTAAACAACACTTTTTATGGATATCTTTGAGAAATGGCTTTCTTCTTGCCACTCTTCCATAAAGGCCAGATTTGTGCAGTGTACAACTGATTGTTGTCCTATGGACAGACTCTCCCACCTCAGCTGTAGATCTCTGCAGTTCATCCAGAGTGATCATGGGCCTCTTGGCTGCATCTCTGATCAGTCTTCTCCTTGTTCAAGATGAAAGTTTAGAGGGACGGCCGGGTCTTGGTAGATTTGCAGTGGTCTGATACTCCTTCCATTTCAATATGATTGCTTGCACAGTGCTCCTTGGGATGTTTAAAGGTTGGGAAATCTTTTTGTATCCAAATCCGGCTTTAAACTTCTCCACAACAATATCTCGGACCTACCTGGTGTGTTCCTTGGTCTTCATGATGCTCTCTGCACTTTGAACAGAACCCTGAGACTATCACAGAGCAGGTGCATTTATACGGAGACTTGATAACACACAGGTGGATTCTATTTATCATCATCAGTCATTGGGACAACATTGGATCATTCATAGATCCTCACTGAACTTCTGGAGTGAGTTTGCTGCACTGAAAGTAAAGGGGCCGAAAAATATTGCACGCCCCACTTTTCAGTTTTTAAAATTTTTTTTTAAAGTTTGACACATCCAATAAATTTCATTCCACTTCACGATTGTGTCCCACTTGATGTTGATTCTTCACAAAAAATAAAATTTTATATCTTTATGTTTGAAGCCTGAAATGTGGCAAAAGGTTGAAAAGTTCAAGGGGGCCGAATACTTTCGCAAGGCACTGTATAGACTTTATGTTGAAGTTTGTTTCCTTCCAACAACACTGGTGTCTGATTTCGTGATGCGTAGAAACTCACTGGTAACAGTTGTTATGAAAGCGGTTGTAGCTGCCCAACGCAGTAAGGGCACCAAGTCCAATGGCATAGGAGAAGAAAATCTGAGTGCCTGCATCAATCCATACCTATTGTCAAAAAAGTACTATTTCATTTCGTTTTCCTAAACAAAGTTGTACAAGGCTGTTACACTTGTCTAGAGCTACACACATTCAGAAACTCTACACTGACACGCAAAGAAATATTCATGCAAAAAAGATGAACCTGTGCTTCTCCAAGTTTGGACCAGTCTGGCTTCAAGTAGTAAACAATGCCATCCAAAGCTCCAGGCAGAGTGACGCCATGGGCCAGAAGAACCACCAGAACCAGGTAGGGGAACAGAGCTGTAAAGTACACGACCTACAACGAAAAACAGAGAATGGAAACGACTGAAAGATGCAAAATAAAATTCTGGACATTGTGAGACCAATGTATAGGAATTAAGTAAAAAGGAAAAACAACAAAATGTGCACATCTTTATTTTTTTAATGGCGGTTAACTGGACAGGTTTAGCACCTATCAACTATTGTCAAGAGCAGCCGCAGGTGAGCAGAGCTAAAGTACACTTCTTATCACTTTGATTAGACATTTACCTGCTTTGCAAATACTCAAGACCTAAGGAGAAGCCCATTAGGTCCTTCCTGTTGTAGATGTGTAATCAGGCCTACTTTGATGAAAAGGTCTCCTGTAAATGGAAAACCAGACAGTTTGTAAACCTCCTGCAATAGCAGGTGGTTTTGGCAAAACTTTTTTTTAAGTAGTTTTTGCCAAGTTATGCTGAAACTTCACTCTTGTTATTACATACATGCTTGAGTAGAGTAATAGTAAAGTTGTGAGAAAGCACATTTTTGTCTTGATCTGCTGTAACTGCAGGCAGAGAAGGCCAGCTTGTAAACATCTACACGGAGGAAAGTCAATAATCGGCTTACAGCTGGCTGGCTAAATAGCTTTCATTGTTTTTGCCCCTAGCTTTGTGAGCTTTGGCTACAAGGGAACCACAAGTACACAAACAGTTTCTTCTACATGTTACAAAATGAAGATTTGTTTGTTATGTCACTATATCAAAGGACACAATTAAAAAAGTCAGCAGTGGTTATCTATTTTCTCAGCACAATTTCTATTCAGAAATCTAATAACGATATACTGAGCCACTCAAAAAACAACATAAACGGGCCAGCACTTAAAGAAACCAGGTGAGCTTGTACTGTACAGAGTTTCAGTCTATACACTGATCCTCCGTCTAAACTAAAGCTTGTTGGAGCCAAAGGGCAGAATGTTGTGATTACTGGTATTTCCCCCTTTGAGTGGAGCCATGCCAATTTTAGTGTACACTGCCAGGACTTATCACACTGTGTTTGAGCAAATAAAAATCTCCACTCCCTGAACTTAAAAACTAACGTGACGGTATGTGCCATGAACCTTTCTGCTAGAAAATACTTCACCTTGCCAGTAGATTTGACTCCTTTCCACATACAGAAGTAAACAATGACCCAGGTGGCCATGAGACACAACACCATCTCATAGCTTATGACACCAGGTTCATGTAGGCCTCCAGATAGACGAAGCACTTTACGCCTAGAATGAGGAACAGAGACATTTGCCATTAGGAAATAAAGCACTGAATGTTACCAGAAGCACCGAAGGCATATTCAAGTTAATATAAATAACATGCAGCAGATGAATTGTGCTTTGCAAGTCAAATCAGGTTTAGGGTTGCAAAAGCAAGGTTAATGCAAAAAATTTTTAACCGAAGCATTTATGGCTGGCAAAAACCCAAAGAAAATCAGAATATTCAAAATGAAGGTTTGCATGACTTGTAAAACTGAATACAATGCTCAGCTCCTAGAAAGAATAATTTTCAAATGTGTTTAACTATAGGAGTCACATACTCCCAGAACTCAATGACTGGTGAGCGCAGGCCTTCAGCCTCCAGGCAGCTGCCATTAAGAAGGAGCTGAGATGAAGACAGGTTCAGCTGTGCCACGGTGGAGACGGGGCTGGAGGGGAATGCAGCAGATGACGGCAGAGCGGGCTGAGCGGCACTGCGGTTGTGGCACATGCGTCGGAAGTCCTGTGTACAGTTGGGGGTGTTCCAGGGGTGTCCACAGGTGGCCCAGGGCAGTGGATTAGTGAAAGAGTGGAAGAGAAAGTAGAGGCCCCACACCAGAATCATGATGTAGTAGGTATTACAGAAGAACACGATCACCATGGAGGCTAGGCCCAGACCTGACAGAGAGAGGACACATTCTCACTTTTAAACCAAATAGTGATTTAAAGTTTCAGAGTGGTACGGACATCCACATAGAGGTTGGTACCTTTGAAGAGAGGTGCGATGTTCCAAGCAGAGACCCCTCCTTGTTTCATAAACTGGCCCAGTGCGATCTCCAGGAAGAAGACAGGGATACCCCCGATGAACACAATCAGCAAATAAGGGATCAGGAAAACCCCTGCAGCCCCCCAAAAACACATGTGTCACATGGTAAATGAAGCAACGGGCAGGCAGAAACAGTTTTATGATGACACATTCACCCTGGAATCTGAGATTATCTCTGAAAAAATGAATAAATAAAAAGGTGCTACTAGTTAGTATAAGTTTTTAGGTTGTCTTGTTCCATCATATTTATGTGATCGCCTCAACATCTCCACTCCAGTAAGCACACTCAGCTCGACCGACAAGTTTATCTTAGATGTCCCAAAACCCAAATATAAATAAAAAGGCTTTTGCAGTTGCTGCTCCAGTTTTTGTTCATGTTTATCTCTTCAACGCCACAATTTTAAGACCCATCATTTCACCATGGCATATACCGGTAATTTCAGCAGAGTATGAGATTCAATAGTGCTGACGATTTTATGTTGGGTTTATGAATTTTATTTTTGCTTTTACTTGTTTTCTTGTTCCTCATATTTTTTTTTACACTTTTTAATTGTTGTTTTTAATATTTGTTTGACTTAAGGGTAAAGCATTTTGGTCAACTTTTGCTGTTTTAAATGTGCTATGGGAACACTTGGGAACTGATTGTAAGTGACAAATGACAAGTGAGAAAAGAACTCAGAGAGGAGGAGGAAAGGCAGGACAAAAGAGGCATTGAAACTGTAGGTGGGAGATGAACATCAGGACATACTGTCTCTTATTTCACGTGTTTGGGACATATTTGCTGAGTGCAGCATTGACCTTGAACTTGAAAGCTGCATAGAAAGGAAACAAATCAAGGTTGAATGAAAAAAAAATCAAAGGTGCACAGAATGGAGGTGATGGGGAAACGATAGACTCGGGGTAAAAGAAGACATGTAGGTTTGATGGTGGCACTTATAGGTTTGCCCGCAGTGCCTCTCTGCTTTTGGATTATTACATCGCAGCAGACGCTTCAGCAGTTGATATGAGCAATCCAGCTCACTAAACAGAAAGCAAACTGCTTTGTTTTGAGAATAACACAGTTAAGTGATGCCACCACAGTGCACAGATGGGATGGAGTCACATGACCAGCTATGATGCAGAGCAGAAAGAGGCCAAGAAGAGGGAAAGATTGACAGATTACAGGAGAGGCGGGTAGAGAACTGAGACAGTGTTGAGGTAGAAGAGCTAACAGACACATCTGGGCATTGATCTGTGGACCCTTCATCAGTGCTGGGAACAACATTCAGCTCATCATTCAGTATTCTCTAACAGAAGGAAGAGCTTTCGCCATGGAAACAAGGTGAACAGGAGAGACACAAAGTTGAAAAAGAAAGAAAGATAATGCTGGCACATCTTAACTTATTGGCCAAATTATGAAGGAGCTTGGTTCTTACAGGCTCGGGTAAATCCTCTTTGACCATTAGTAGACGAGACACATTAAGACTAGCAGATGTGTTACAGCCAGAGAGATCATTTATAGAGCATTAATCACACACTGCTTACAGTGAGTGTATCATTCAGTGACTAGCAGCTGCTGCAGCTCTTTTCTGATACAGCAGCTGTGTTTTAAAACACATACTTTGGGTTAGGGTTACTCCATACGAAGACGACACGTGGTCATGTGGTTACAGGACGTTCATTTTTGCTTACAGTACACCTTTTCATAGTCCATGAGACACAGAACTGCTGGAAAACCCCTCACTCTGCTGTACACATTACCACGTGGGTTTCTTCCCACTTCTCCGTCCCTGCATCTGCCGTTTGGCCACAAATCCATCATGAAGAAAGCACCACACTTTTCAGAAGACAGACCCCTCCATACACAATGTCTGCTTGATCTCTATCTAGGAGGTTTAGGCCATTTGACTAATTTAGTGTGTTTTTTGAAGAGTCGTGCAGCTGAATGTCTGGATGCATTGACGAACATGCCCACAAACTTCTGACCAGTCACACAGTACTTGGAGCCTGTGAGGGAAAGCTTAACCAGGCCTTGTATCCAGAAGGGGCGGGCGAAGCTACTGTGAGAACAAAATGACAAGATTTACATCACGCAACTACGTCAATGAGGGCCGATTTCGCCACTTCAGATGGAGTATGCAGGACCCTTAAGGCAGGGGTCTGCAACCTTTATGATCAAAAGAGCCATTTTTACACCTTCATTCACTAAATTAAATGTGTCCGGAGCCACAGCAACCTGCTACAACTGTGATTATCAAATGGTGGCCCATGGGCCACTTTAGGTTTGTTGGAGGAGACTCTTGTGGCCATTAGGGGTGACATTAAAGCTAAAAATATCTTATGACTTTTAACATTTACTGATGTTCTTACAATTTAAGACAAATGAAAAGACCAGATTCTTGCAAAGAGAGGGAAAATAGTTTAAAAAAAAAACTTTGATCTATGCAGACCTACAGTGTGTGATATTTTGAATTGTGGAAAAAAATAATTAAGTATAGAAATAAAGCAAAATGTTACAAGTGAGTATTTGCAAAAGAAATGACAGGAAAACAGCTAAAACTAGTTCTTTTTTGTTGTTTGTATAACAACCAATAAAATTCAGTTTTATGTTAGTTTTGGTCAAAGCTTGAAAGAGTTTTGCAGAGGGACCAAAGAGCCACATGTGGCTCCAGAGCAACAATTGCAGACCTCTGCCTTAAAGGAAGGGCCTTGTCACAGAACAGTTAATGTGGGATCCATATGCCTTTATCAGGACAGAAGTAGGGGGAGGGAGAGATCTCCTAAGTGCATATCATGACTGCTGAATGACCTCACAGAGGCGGGGGTGGACTATTATGTGAGGCAGGCCATTGTTATATGATACTATTAGGTAGGTATCAAAGCTACCAGTCACAAGGCTCAGACAGGAAGGAGGGACGGACTAAACCATGCACACCCACAATGATTAATTCCAGTTATATTTGAATGAAACACCTTTTGAAAACTGAAAGGTGTGTAGGACAGCGATAAGAAAAACCAGGGTCAAAAGTCACAGTCAATTGAGGTTACTGTTGGAGAGAACAGAAACAGATGCAATACAGCTCAAAGAGCTTGTATGCAAGTGAAAGCAGGAAGAACTCTGCTGCGCACGTAGCACTGAGCCTGTCTGGTAAGCAGGAGGTGACTATAATAAATAAAGTCAGCCACGTGGTGGGGCAGAGCTTTAGTTACGTGTTCACAGGCACGCACACAGACCTTTGCCTTTTCTAACGGTGTTACGTTTCAGCATTCTGACCTTCTAAATGTATGCTCTGTGGTCTGTAAGCTATATAAAGAACAACTAGACTTCAGTTAAAGGAATGTCAGCATCTACTACTTCTGTTCACTAGTTTCTTGTGTGTCTTTGATATTTTATTGCACCTAAAGCCTGTTAAAGTTGGGATTCCAGGTAGTTAAAAGTTATCAATTGAACACAATGATCCTTTTTATAGAGCATAAGTACCGGTAAGTGTTCAAGGTCGTTCTTCCGCGACACCAGACAGTTGAGAACATCATGTGAAAAGAAGTCATTTGGAAACTAAAAATTTTAAGCTCTCAGAAATGTTGAAAAGGCAGCAAAATCTGCAGTGCACTGACTAACAAAAAGACATTGGAGTCACTTGTAGATAACACTGCAATTAATGCGAAGACTTTGAGACTTGACGTTGGATCGTAATGGAGGGAAATCAAGGACACCATGGGGGACAAAGTACACAAGGAGTTGTATTCATACAGGGACGAAAACATCCTTATTAGGAAAACACAGGTGGCAGAAACTGCAAAGTAAGCAGGTTCACTGTGAGCGCAGCATTTTCCATATCCCCCACCCAGATGATTAGGGCAAAAGGACATAATGAATGTGTTCTTTCAGCAAACTCTTGTCAACATCCCTTGTTTTATCGTAGAGCTAGACAACAATCAACACGCTAAATGTTTTAAAGGTTGGCGCCATATGAGTAAAATGTAAGCTGGTCACCGAATCACGAGTTTTAAAATACATATTACTATTTCTTTGTGTGATAGTAAGCAACTCAACAGGATGTTTTCCAGCTTAGCATGCTCACTGATAATAAATAAATGAAGAAAAAGATGGGGAGAGGTTGATCTGATCGTTTGATTCATGTAAATATCAATAGTAATCAGTGAGTTAGTCAGTGATTTTTGTTAGAGGTTTTTTTTGGGGGGGGGATCTCATTTTACTGCATTAGATATAAATAAACGCAGAGCAGCTATTTTATTGGAATAAAGATATTCTTTTTCAACTAACCATTTTATTTATTGTCTAAGGGTGCATTTATGTTTCCCACAATCAGCAGATAATTAATATTTAACATTTACTGCAATTATATGAGGGAAAAACAATGAAAGAACATATATTTCTTCGATAAAAACTTATGTTAAGCTAAGACTATGCCTGGATTTATATGATAATTGATGCAGGATGATTTGGTCCTACCCTAACAGAGCACAGAATTAATAATGACTTTGTTCTTCGTGTAGATTATAAATTAATAGAGCATTAACCTTGTTGTTTAAACATGACTAATAGTAACTCCATCATAGGTTTTGAAAATTGGCTTTGAATATCAATTTCTCATACTTTGTTAAAATGTTTAAAAGTCATAAATGTTTATCTCAACTGTTCCCTATTGTGAGCAGACAAAATGTGAAGATATGCAGTGGTCTTTAAGGCTCACCTCCTCCGTTCTTGTAGCAGAGGTATGGGAACCGCCACACGTTGCCCAGGCCGACAGCAAAACCCACGCAGGACATGATGAAGTCCATCTGTCTGGTCCAGGTTTCTCTCTCCACTTCTGGTCCTGCGACCACCCCATTTCCAGTCACAACTGAAGCCCCGTCCTGGCTCTGCGGTGGGCCAGTCCCTCCGCCATCACCACACCCGGGACCTGCACCGGGCATAGGAACCAGGGGACGAGCCGATCCCATGCCCTCCTCCTCGGACAGGGTCCCTGCCTCCATCTGGGAGACACTGATTTCACCTGATCACAGAAAGAGGGGGTTGGATGAAATACAAGAGGAGGTGAGATGAGTCAAAACCATAAGGATACCAATTAAAAGAACTGCAAATTTTTAAACATACAAGGAACATTCTAAGCTTTGACGAACCACGGTGCTTTAAAACAGCTGTATACTTTATGAAAATAAAAACAGGACAATATTCCTACCATTCACTGCAAAAGTCAGTGCCATCACACTCTGTTATGATCTAACCTCAATAAATGGTGCAAAAGGATTAAATTAGATCACACAAAATTGATTTTCATTTCTTTTTAAACTACCCTCATTGTGTTGCAATACATTTTCAGCCCTGAGCCCTCCCCCAATGTTCATTCTTTCTGTTTCTGTGTGACAGAGTGATTCATGTGCTGCAGCATAGCACAGCACGCTCACCTCAAAGTATAACTATATAACAAGCCCTTCTGCTACTCAGAAAGGATTTTATATCTCCCACTATTTCATTAAATAAACCGCCCAATCTACGTATATGGATATCTAATTAAGTGCGAGGTCAGGTCACTTAATGTGTGGCGTTCCACAATAGCCCTGTCAGGGGCTCAGTGATGGATTCAAAGCAAAGGCAGATGAATCCAGATCGGAGCAGTTTGAGGGGGAGTGTGAATAGCAATGGGCGAATGATGTAAGCATCTATGAGGCAACTTAACAAGAGGCGGCCTATGGTTTCAAGTAATCTGTGCGAGGAATGGCTGAGCGGCGATAAGCCACAAATATCAAAAGCCAGGTTCAGGATGAATTGTTATGGTACAAATATGCGGGGTCTATCAAAAAAAACTATATTTCCATGCTAGGCACCTAATTCTAAAGGCAGGCGGCCAACTTAAATGATGATGCCCTGAGGGGATTTGCATGAGATTTAGTTTAGATTTAAATTGTTTATTCAGGAGCACGCTACCACTCGTTTGCTCCAGAATGACAGCAGGCTGCTTAAGGTCAGTCCTGGTTTCATGTTTATTATTAGACGTCTGCATGCATGATGTGATAAAGGCAGGTTGGGAGCAGCTGGTGTCCTGTTTGGTCCTCGGTGATGGCGTACAGGGAATGACAGGGATGCTCCCATTGACATGCATTTGTTAGTACTTACTGTTCAGCTGTGCTGTAAATAAAAAGGGAATTAAAAAAGCAGTGGATGCTCTGTGTTACTCACCTTGACTGTTCTCTTCCATTTCAGGTGACATATTCTTGGTTACAAAAATAATGTTATTTAAAGTGCAAGCTGGCTGTTTTTATAGGCAGGGGAGAAATGAAGTTTTTTAAAAGTGCCAGGCTAAAGAAAGGACACAGGGGATGTAGCCACAATATATTACCAATCCTATGGGGGCTGTGTTTCTCCGAGTTTATTTCTTCTTCTTGGAATGAAAAAAATTGTTTTAAATCTCAGTTTATCGCGAATATCACAGGTGGGAACCCGTTAACTCTGCCGAGAAGAGATGGAAAAATGTCACAAAGCGCCGCGGTCGGTTGAGCCGTTGACGGGGAGGAGATTCAAAAGCAATCGACGAAGCACTTGAAGGTAAGCCTGAAGAATCTCATGGATAACCCTTAAATGAAAATGATACTACGCCTCAGAGGAAAGAATTGATGTCGGGCTTTATTTTTCGTTCGATTCAGACACTCGGTCAAAAGTCCATGTTCCGTTTCGGAGAGACGCCGCTGGCTTCGATGGACGCGATCCGCTCTGCTCTACGGTCAGTTAACTGTGACACACTCTCTCCTTCCGCCTGGCCCCTCCCCCACCCCGGCTGCGGTCCGCTCTGATTGGCTGAGAGCAGCCCGGTGCCGCGCGCACAGCATCAGCAGCACTGAGAAGTCACAAGGATGGGTTTATTACGTCCTTGACCTGAAATCATGGAGGAATAAAAAAATAAAAAAATAAAAAAAATGACGTAGAAGCGCGCAGCCGCGTCTTGTGGCATCGGATGAGTTCCAATTATTTGTTTCATATCCTAAAGCGTCGTGGAATGTGTTACCCCCCTGATTGTGATAACAGGTACAGACAACAATAATTCAACATAAAGCAATTTACATAAAATAAAATAAGCTATAAACACAGTCAAATCAAGATGCCAAATGAAACAATGTAAAATACTAAAAACAAGAACATATTTGCTTTGATATTTCTCTTGAAATTATCAAATGTTTAAAATCCTTCAAAAAAAAAAAACAAAACAAAGACAGCTTCAGATTTTGTTGAAAGGTGTTCCAGGTTACAAGAACAGAGTAAGAAAAGGCCTTTTTGCCAGGTTCAGTCTGCATTAAGGGAATGCTACAGATAATGAAGGCCTGAGAACGCACGCCGTAACTGCACTGACAACGTGACATGTGGGAGGAGCTATAAGAATGCAACAGACCAAGGAGTGATTTATAGATGAAAATGAACATGTGATAGCCTACATACAGATGTGATAAACAACTGACCAATGAGTACAGAGTGCAGTGATAAGTATGGTTGTTACAACCAGTTATGAACCTTAGTGCCCCATGGTAGACAGCATCCAACATCTGCAAGGAGCTGGCAGGATCTGGAAGGCTTCCGGATTGAAGGTGAAATGTTTCAGCACAAAAAAAAAAAGAAACTGTCCAGATGACCTGACTGAAAAATGTTAGATTGTATACCTGGATTATTGAGCATGGACTTTGTTGTTTTCCACCAGTTTGATACGACTGTCAACAAGGAAGAGGGCCAGCAATGGAGGAGGGGGCATGACAAAGAGACCATCTTAGCACCAACATAACTGGTTTGTTCCACTTTGGAGTAAGCTGTTGGGGAAAGAATCAGTTTTGTGTTGTGTGTTTCCTTGACTGATGAAGCCTTCCAGATTGAAGGCGAAATGTTTCAGCACACACATACACACACACACACACACAAAAGAAACTGTCCAGATGACCTGAGTGAAAAATGCTGGATCGTATACCTGGATTATTGAGCATGGACTTTATCATTAAAAACCTTTAGCGAAGCAGTCATTGTGATGTGTTGTTTATACTGAAGCCAGATTGGTGGGAAGATAAAATGTTGAAAGAATCCAAATGCTTCTTGACAAGTATTTACACGTTTTTCTAAAGTCTTAGCTAAAATACATAGTTTGTAAATTGGCCAATAGTTGTTCAGTGTAGTGGGGTCTCTTCTCCTCCCTTCAATAATCGTAGCACAAAAGCTCTTTTCCAAGCATTTGAAACAACAAATTAAAAATGTATGACACCGGTTCTGTTATAATTTGTGCAGCTAGCCTTAAGAAATAAGGAGGGAGGTCATTGAGACCTGCAGATTTTCTGGAATCCAGACCTTTTAACAGTTTAATAACTTCACTGACAGAGAAGAGTGAAAAAGAGAATGTATGATTCACTGAGGTTTGACTTGTAGGTGAAGTGGGTGATTTAACATTAGAAACTGTATTCAGTTTCTGTAACATTTCACATTATTGGTTTGAATAAGCCTCGTTACTATCAAGCTGATGCTGTACATGTCAATTACTAATTGAATAAAATCTTAATATTAGAGTAAGAGGAACCACATTTACCATTAGAAACTGTATGTTCAAGGAACTGGAGGCATCAAAATGTCTGTTGAAACAGTTAAGCATCTCGTGCTTATTTGACATAGTCAACAATTGCTTGTCATGGCAGATCAGATGAGTGTGTGCTGCTAGAAAGATTGAATGGTTTTCCAAAACCTCTTAGGTCATTCAGATCTTTGGTGGTCTGAGATCAACAGTAGTTACATTTGCAGCTTTAATGGAAGCCATACAGTGATTCCGTAATTGATTAAATTTTAACCAATGAGCATCCAAACCAGATTTTCTTGCTGCTGCCCATAACTGGTCCCTCCTGTGCAAGAGATCAGCTAACTCAGAAGTAAACCAGGGGCCATCTCTGCCTTTTATTCTGAACTGGTGAAACGGAGTATGTTTATTTACAAAATGAATGAAATAAGCTATTATGAAAATGATTGCAAGCAACACTCACATCGTCAATTAATGATTCCAGTCAAAATGCAACAGATCCCAAAGAAAGACCAATGACGTCAACAGAAACACATCATCTGCAAAGAGCAGAGATGGAATCCTGATGCCACCAAACTGTAATCTCTCCACCCCCTGGCTGCACTGAGAAATTCTGTCGATAAAAGTTATGAACAGAATCAGTGACAACGGGCAGCCCTGGCAGAGTCCAACTCCCACCCTGAATGGATTTGACTTACTACCGGCAATGCAAACCAAACTCTTGTAGCACTTATGTAGGGACCGAACAGCCAGTAACAACGGGCAATAACAACAATCCCATACTCACGGAGCAACCCCCACAATTTACCCTGAGAAACATGGTCAAATGCCTTTTCCAAGTCCACAAAACACATGTAGACTGGATGGGCAAACTCCCATGACCCCTTGAGGACCCTAGTGGGGGTAAAGAGATGGTCCAGTGTTCCACAGCCAGGACAGAACCCACATTGTTCCTCCTGGATCTGAGGTTCAACCAACGATTGGACTTGCTTCTCCAGTACCCATGAATAGACCTTATTAGGGAGGCTAAGGAGAGTGATGCCTCTGTAATTGGAGAACACCCTCCAGTCTACCTTTTTGAAAAGGGAAACTACCACCCCAGTCTGCCAATCCAGTGGCATTGCCCCCGATGTCCATGCGATGTTGCAAAGGCGTGTCAACCAAAACAGTCCCATAACATCCAGAGCCTTAAGGAAATCAGGGCGAATCTCATCCACCCCCAGAGTCCTACCACCGTGTAACTTTTTAATTACCATGGCAACCTCAGCCACGATTAAGGACAAACTCTGAAGTCCCCCGACTCCGCTTCCTCTATGGAAGACGTGCCAGTGGGATTGAGAAGGTCTGAGAAGTATTCCTTCCATCTCCCAATGACATAACTGGTTGAGGTCAACAGCACCCACCTTCACTGAAGACAGTGTTAGTAAAGAGCTGCTTTCCCCTCTTCAGCTGCCTGATGGTTTGCCAGAATCTCCTCAGAGCCAACCGAGTCTTTATCCAAGGCCTCACCGAACTCCTCCCACATCTGAGCTTTTGGCTCAGCAACAGCCAAGGCTGCAGACCGCTTGACCCTCCAGTACTCCTCAGCTGCTTCCAGTGTCCCACCAGCTAACAAGGACCAATAGGACTCCTTCTTCAGCTTGACAGCCTCCCCAACCTGGAGTGTCCACCACTAAGTTTGAAGATGGCCTTCGCGAGAAGCACCGACAATCTTGCGGCCACAGCTCAAGGCAGCCACTTCAACAGTTGAGTCATGGAACATGGCCCACTTGGACTCAGTGTCTCCTGTCTCAACTGGGATGTGGTTCAATCTCTCCTGGAGGTATGAGTTGAAGATCTCTCTGATGGGTTCTTCTGCCAGGTATTCCCAGCAAATCCTCACTACACATTTGGGTCTACCGGGTATGTCCGGCATGTTCCCCCGCCATCTGATCCAACTCACTACTAGGTGGTGATCAGTTGACAGCTCTTCTCTTCACCTGAGTGTCCAAAACAAATGGCCACAAATCAGATGACACGACTACAGTCAATCATGAGTCTATGACCTAGGGTGTCCTGGTGCCAAGTGCACTTATGGACACCCTTATGTTCGAACGTGGTGCTTGTGATGGACAAACTATGACTAGCATAGAAGCCCAACAACAGAACGCCACTTGAGTTCAGATCAGAAAGGCCATTCCTCCCAGTCACACCCCTCCAGGTCACAGTGTCGTTACCTGTGGGCATTGAAGCCCCCCAGCAGAATAAAGGAGTCCCCAGCTGGTGCACCTTCCAGCACCCCTCACCAAGGACTTCAAGAAGGCCGGATACTCTGAACTGCCATTCGATGCAGAGGCACAAACAACAGTCAGAACCTGTCATCCTACTCTTCGGTGGTGGGCCCCACAGGAAGGCAAACCCATGTTGCTCATTTGGGATGAGCCCGACTGGGCCCCATGGGTAGAGACCCGGTCACCAGGCACTCGCTGACAAGCCCTTCCCCCAGGCCTGGCTCCAGGGTGGGGCCCCAGTAACCCACGTCCGGGCAAGGAACATGGAGTTCCTTGATATGTATTATTCATGAAAAATCTTTGGAATCGTTCTTTGTCTGACCTGTCACCTAGGATCAATCTACTTATATAATTGCCCCAGACAGCATAGTTCCTAGGATCATTCAGGCGCACAAACTCCTCCACCACGATGAGGTGGCAATTCAAGGAGCCAAAGAATGGCCTGCTCATTAAAATGCTTCATGCTTCATTTTAAGATTGTTCTAGGTTTAGAATGAGACATTTTAATATCCCTAACAGCACCAACTACACAGTGATCACATAGATCATTTGTAAAAACACTTACCACTGTGTATTTATGTGACATGTTTGTGATGCTCCTCCTTGAATCCCCACGTTATCGTGGTGGCGGAGTTTGTGCGCTTGAATGATCCAAGGAGCTATGCTGTCCGGGGAAAATTTATTTGCCCCTGGTAGGGTCTTCCAAGGCAGATTGGTTCTAGGTGACTGGCCAGACAAAGAGCGATTCCAAAGACTTTTCATGAACAACACAAATCAAGGAATTTGGTGTCCCTTGCCTGAACGTGGGTTAAGGGGGCCCACCCTGGAGCCAGGCCTGGGGGTGGGGCTTGTCAGCAGGTGCCTGGTGACCAGGTCTCTATACAGATTTTACATCAACAAATTATGTCACTATATGAAGCTTGACATTTGTAATGTCTGTAATGGACATGTTTAGAATTTTGGATTGTGGTAAAAAAAAAGAATTCTAGATTTTTTTTCTATTATTTTATAATATAGTGTCACAAAAAGAGGTACAACAAGAAATCAAGTTATGAATAACTTAACATGACTTGCATAACAGTTTCACTGCATAACTATCCTGTGCTTTCCACTTTGAATTTAACATTTTTTGTTTGTTTTTGTACTGAAGACATTGTCAGAAGTATGAAGCTGTGAGATTACCTTTTTTCTTTAAATCAAAACTATCCAAACCTTAGCTGTACATTAAATTACTATGTGGAAAAAGCTCATATTTTGATCCCCTTCATCACAAGTGTGGCGCTGTAGTGTTGAGTGACATCTAGTGGACAGAGTCTGAACTAGCACCAAAGGACAATTATACAACAGTAATACTGTAAAGCAAAGCTTTAATCCTTATCTCGCACAACAAACACAGGAATACAGTTACAAACTGAGTGCAACACCAAGCATTTATAAATACACGTTTCTTCAAATGATCAAACTGTAGTAATAAATAAGTTACAAATAAATAGACAATAAATATATTCAGGTGATAAAGAAATAAAAATATTATCAACTTTATATTCAATCTTATCTGAAGGAATGGCTTTACATTTTTGTCTAATCCAAGATAGTCTTGACTTGTTCTTATTAAACAACAATTTATAATTTTGCAATGAAAAGTGAAAGACAGATGACACAGAACATCTCAAATATGTCACTAGGAAACACATTTACATAATTATTGTGACATGGCTTCTGACAAAAGGCTTTAATTCCATAATAAAAAAATAGAATAAATAAAATCTAAGCAGTTGCCTAAAGCCAAACTAAAAGCAGGTAAGCAGGCTGCTTTCTGAGTTATACCTGCATCTTTCACATCTCTCATCAGTTTTTATGTTTATCATTTTAAATCTATACATTTTTAAGGTGCAGTTTCAGTGTTCGGTGTCTAGTTAATTTGTGTACATGCCCTCTTAACTCTCCATCAAAATAAATATTTTAGAAGATGTCATATTGTGCATTGTGTGTGTAACTTTAACTTTAACCACAGGACTACGCAAAACTTGAGTCTCATCAAATTTCTTTATCTTTTGCTTCAAAGATTACTACCTTTGTAATTTTCAGGCAAACTGGTGCAATAGTTTTCTAGAAATAACTTGTCAAATAACTAATTTAACAATTTTACCTTCAGCTATAAAACCGGCAATATACAATGTTTGATAGTGTTTTGTATTACACAATTCCCCAAAACATGGACCTGTGTGGGACCTGTGATCATTTGTCCTTGAAAACGTTTAGCAAGCTGAAAAAGTGTTGGAGAAACTAAACCATAGAAGGCCTAAACAATTATTTACTGCTGAGAGATTCTTCTAACTTGTACCATTTACCATATGTAAAGTATTCGGTTCACATCTCCTTTAGAAACACCTTCTTTTGAGCCAAAATGCTATTTTGCTTCTGTGAAATTGATATTTTTGATTTTTTTTAAATGATGACGATAAAGAACAAATTTGATCTTTGCCACTAGATGCTAATAGCTGATTTACAGAAGAGAAACATTAATATGAGGTAGTCATGAGCACTAGGCTGAAAACGATAAAGCAGTCATTCTGAAGAGGTTCTTTGAAATGCTAAAAGAAAATGAAAATTGAAGGAAATTTAAGAAGATCACGAGAAAGTCTGACTCTTCTGAAGCAAAATATCAAGAAATGAGTGGTTTAAGACTTTTGCATAGTACTGCACTCTGACATTGTGTACGTAAATATCGGTCACATCACACTGGGAAAAAAAAAAGTTTAAAAAGCTCATTTGTAAAGTTGTACCAATATAAGCCCTGACTATAGATCCAGATGGAGGTCACTGTGAGAAAGAGGATAGTACTGGTCCTCCATGCCAGACTTGGTTTGATGCCTTTGGGCTACTAGTCTCTGGTAGCGAGCCTGTTGCTGGTGATCCGGGTCAACGTTCACCCAGCTGTTGGCCACCCACTTCACTCCTCGCCTGATTGGACAGTCACCCTGCAGGGAATACTCATCCAACTCGCCCATCCAACCTACAGAAGCCAGGAAAGAAGACAAACTGCATGAAGATAAACTACAAGAAAAACTGCATGAAGACAAACTATAGTGTTAGCTTAGAGCTGTAGGCACTGGAGACATGAATGCAAGATGTGGAAAAGGAAAAAAGTAACAAACGCGAATGCTCCAATGAAATACTGTTTTTAAAGCTGTACAAAGAAAAAGTTTTCCCATTTTTAATCGGTGTAGGATCGCTGCCTCTCAACAGTTTGTAGTTTTCTCTCCAAAGTGTTTTCCGTGAAGACAAGTTTAGACTGGAGGCAGAATAACTCCTGTTATGCAACATGCATGTGAAAAACATCCTTGTTAATCCAAAAGATTCATGATTTTAGTGACAATACTATTTTTTTTCCTAACAAATGTTTTCTCCATCTCACATGATGGGTTCACAGCAGGTGGTAGCATTTCCTCATGTTCCAACATGTTTTCTTTCAGAATCCAGTTTTTCATCTGAAGACCTGAAGATAAACATCTGTCCCTGTTGGTTGTGATTTCCTAAGTACTGAGGATGATAACATTTCCAAAGTCACTCCAGTTGTACCTGAAGTTAAACTCTTCATCTCTGCAGTCTTGGTAAGTTTGGTGAATTATTAATCATCTTTAGTTTGAAAATATTTACACCCATAGTACTGACCTGTTGACATTTATTCAAACATGTTCTTACTGCAGGTGTTCACAAAATTACAATCTTAATATTTCACATGTTTTCTAATCTCATACTGGCTTTTTAGGCACAGGATTTAAATAGTTTGTGCATCATTATTATGCCGGTCAAAGTGACACTAGGATTAAAAAGATAAACTTGTTTCAACATGAAACATGTTTGTGTCTATTTGGATTCAGTCCTAAAGCCTTGCAACACAAGGCTGATGACAGATTTTTACCAAATCAACATATTACACAATATACCGGTAAGTTTGAATATGATATACAAAAAACCTTTTTTATCGTATTTTACCTCTCCCATCAGATAAATGGTTATACCAGAGGAGAGCTGTCCCAGTGGTGGGCTTTATTCTCAGATTCCCTTTGCCACATGTCTGTTGGGTGTCTGTCAAATCAACTCCCTCCTGGATCAGGGCCTAAAATACAAAACAAGCAGCTTCAGACTAAATTTTGTGCATTTCATCAACATTTTTGACCATTTTAACACATCACAAAACAACCTTCTTCTAAACAAATCTACAGTTAACATAATAATGTGTCAACGTTAATGTCCGTTTTATTTATAGAACGCATTTAAAAACAACAATGTTGAACAAAGTGCTTTACAAACAGGAAATCTAGCGATACAATAAATGAAAGACCAATCAATAAAAACTACAGGTATAATAAAAGCACAAACTAAAACAAGAAAATATCAAAACGTAAGAGATTCTCAAGGAACCCAAGCCGAACTTGAGTTAAAAGCCAGTGTAAAAAAAGTGAGTTTTTTGTGGGATTTAAAGGACCGAACGGACTCTGCACAACAAATATCAATGAGCAGGGAGTTCCAGTGTCTGGGGGCTGCCACAACAAAAGCCCGATCCCCTCTGTGTTTTAATTTAGCCCTCGGTTGCACTAAAAGCATCTGACTGGAGGATCTTAGTGCTCTTTTCGGGTTGTAAACGTGTAAAAGATCCATTAAATATCTGGCTGCCAAGCCACTTAAAACTTTAAAAAGTCAGTAAAAGAATCATAAAATCGATAAGAAAACGAACAGGCTGCCCGTCGGTTAAAACAGGAGTGATGTGGTCCTGCCTTCTGGTTCCTGTGAAAAGACGCACAGCAGCGTTCTGGATCAACTGCAGGCGATGGAGAGACGATTGCTCCAAAACTGAAATATAACAAGCTACAATAGTCCAGTCTGGTGGTGATGGACTGAATAAGAGTTTCGAGGTATTTAGGAGGAATATAAGATTTTGCTTTGGCTATTAGACGTAACTGATAAAAAATGGTTTTGACAACCGAGGATATTTGCTCCTCCAGCTCAAAAGAACAGTTTAAAAACACTCCTACATGTTGTGACAAACTTCTGTTGAAAGTGACACAATTTCTGATTGAACAAAACTCACCTAAACTAGGGAGTTTTGATTTGCATGTTCCTAACAAGTCGTTTGTTTTTATTTTTTTTATATGATGAAGTATTTCTGAATGACATTGATTGATTTGACAACAGAACATTTTGACAACAATCTACCTGCTCATCGTAGGTACGATTATCTGCTACAGGGAAGGTAGTTTCACCACCGTCCTCTGCAGAGCTGAGGTAGAACACGACGGTCAGGTACCTGGAATAAAAGCAGACAGGAAGCAGCAAACACATACATTGTAAATGTTTTGTTTATTGCTCTGGACTTTTGGTTAAACTCCTAAAACAACAGCCTTTTTTTTTTCATACATTTTCATTTAAAAGACAAGAACAAAAATGATGCCTTGGCTTGTACCCATTTGAATAAAAAGAAATAAAAACACAACATGGCACATACCTGCATGAGACCTCTGTGAGAGCAGACGCGTTTCCTGCCAGGCGTGTGTGTGCACAGGTGGTCTCTGGGTGGGAGGAGCTGCTGTCGTAGTGAGCGCTGCTGAAATCTCTGTGCTCATAACAATTCACCTGCAGCGGTTCACTCAGCTCCACCAGTGAAGAGGGCAAACGTGTCAGGCTGATAACTCTTAAAAACAAGACGTAAGAGCAGAAAGATCCACTTTAATATCAAAGGGTTTGAGTTACTAAGAGAAGCACGACACAGTGTGTAGGTGGAGACCTTTTCCGGAGTGTCTGCAGCACGTGGTGAGATCCTGGCCCTTGGTAAAGCCACGTATGCTTGCTTCTCTGTTTAAAGTTACTATAGAGCCTTCCGCTTCGCTGTTGTTGTGGACGCCTTGACACATCGTATACCCGCCTGAAGTCCCCCAGTGTCAGCATCCCTGCCAGGCACAGAAAAGTAGAACAACTATTATTAATTTCAGTCATGGAGCACTGTGACTCTAATTTAGTGGAATGCAGTCTAGAGTCCACAGCAGTTTAGCTCGTTTCCCACCTCAGTTGTTTTCCTCTTTTGTTAAAGCATGTGCTGCTACGCTGAGATGAAACTGTCTGCCCCCCACCCCAATCAAGTCCCCAGGAGCACCACGCCCCAGCCGCAACAATACCTCTGGGGTGCCACATTAGAAGTGGCTGGGGGAAGGGGTTGGGTTAATCAAAGAGAAGTGTGTGTGTGGGGGGGGGGGGGATGAAAGAAAAAAAAGTGGGCGAACAAAAAGGTTTTAATGAGATGGGACACGACACAGCCCATCCGGATGTGCAGAACGCCTGGCACAATGGTATCAGGTCAAAGTTGTGCCGCCCCACTTCCTGCCTTACCACTCAAACACTTGCACGCAATCGCAGATAATTTACTGTGCGGGCGACAGTTTACTGTCTTTTTACTTAGATTACACACAGAAGTCAGAAGAGGACAAAGATATTCTGGAATCACTGACTACAGATCAAACGTCTCATTGTTTTGCATCGATGATCAGAGTTCATTAACGATGGTTATTTATTTTTTTTAGTTTATGTTAAAGTTTTATGACTCAAATGATTCTCTTTTTCAAAATGAAGTCAGTTCCAAATGTAGACACACGTGAACTACAGGAGCACAGACCTGTTGGACAGACTTCCAGACCAGTCAGGATCTGCCGTAAGTTGTCTGGGCTCAACCAAGTTCCATCTCGAGAACGTGAATGACTCAAAATCTGGAAAATAATATTTGACACGTTACTAAAACAACAATATTTTACGTATCACTAAATTTGTTATGAAAATCTGCACTCTTCCTTCAGCTACATGGAATATGAATGATCTGTGTTTCTCTATCGTCACCTCTTGTTTCTGAAGAAACCCATCTTGGTTGAGGTCCAACAGACTAAAGACCTCTTCTGTGCTGAGAGAAAGTAGTGGCTGGTTTGACTCCTGTCCCTGGCTAGGTGTTAGCGGCTGGCTGTCCATCAGACCCTTGAGCTGAGCCAGCTGCACCACCACACGACACTCCTCCTCTGACAGAAATCCAGGGATCTCTGTCAGGAAAAAGAGACAGGAACAAAGGCAACTTGATGAAATAATTTTGTTTGGAGACGGTGCAAAATTAGTAACATTTACTTCATATCCTGCTGCTGCATCGCAAACAAACTCAAGATGAAAGTAAGGATTAAAGAGCTCAATCTGGAAATGGGCAAGGATAATCATGTGGAGTGTGGATGGATTTAGACAGTATTTGCAGATTGTTGTTTCTAACACCTCGCACCATAAAGGTTAGCGTGTGAAATCCAATCATGAGATAACAAAAGAAACTATAATATAAATACAATAAGCCTAAACATTTGTTTTTAATTGCTTAAAGATACCAAAATTCTATTATGGACAATATGTGACTTATATTCAATTTAGAAACATTTTGCTTGAAAGTTAAAACCTAATATTCTGCAGACAAAAAAATTTGAACTAGTAATTGAGTGAGCAGCTTAAAATGAGTTAGAAAGATCTGTCAGCGTTGACTCGATCAGTCAGAAGATTAAACTGACTGGAGTAAATAACAATTAGGTCTGAAAGAACAGGAACTCCTTAAAGACAGTGTAGATAAACTGTGTAACCTAATGAGTACTAGCTATTCCCCTCTGGTATTGGGCATTAAGTCCCCTGTGGTATAGCCTGTCCCAATGGTAGTTTTAATAGGCAACAACACTAGACTGTAGACTTTAGGAATGTCTGCTAATATCAATTACTACAAAGAATAAAAATATTTAGAATTAGAAATGCTCCTTTTCATTCAACCTTTATTTATACAGGTTAATCCCATTGAGCCTCGGGGACTCATTTACAAGAGACCCGATTTTTAACAAAGAGTGATGACAACAGTGGACAACAACGACAACAGTAGACAATCATCAAAGAAAGCATACAAATTCAGAAGAACAAGTGAAAGAAAACATTATTAAAAAACAAAACAAAAACAGCTAGGTTATAAGGCGATGTAGAAAACTAAAAACAGGAACATGTCTGCATTGGTTTTTGCCATGAACTTAGCAGATGTTTGAAGCCACTTAGAGAGGTCAAGGTCAAGAGTTTCAGATCCTTTTGCAAGATATTCCAGGAAATGGGAGCAGAGTAGGAGAAGGTCCTTTTGCCTAGTTCAGTCCACACTGAGGGAACACTGAATATAATAATGTTCTGAGAGCGCACGCTGTAGCTGCACTCACGCAGAGACATGTAGGAGGAGATGTATGAAGGAAACAGAACAAGAAGTGATTTAAAGATTAAAATGTACCAGTGAGAAAGTCTGCGTGAAGTTGATGATGACCAGTTAACCAGTGAATACAGGGTGTAATGGTGGGTAGTACGGTAGTTACAGCCAGTTATGAATCTTAGCACATGATACAGCGTCCAACATCTGCAGGGTTCTTGTAGGAGCATTCATGTAAATAATGTCACCGTGGTCAATGGAGGGAAGGAAAGTCGCAGTTACAAGGTGTTTCCTAGCATTCAGGGTTAGACAGGATGTTTCTGAAAAAGAAATCCAGTTTAACTTTCAGTTTCCTTACTAAGTTTTCAACGTGGAGCTTAAAAGAGAGATGCGAGTCAACCAAGGTACCCAAATATTTTTTAGGAATCGAAAAACTCAATAGGGACACCATTTGAGAATAAAATCGAAGGAAGAACTACTGGGACCAACTTCCTGTTTGAAAACAGCATCCCCTTGGTTTTGTCAGCGTTTTAGGACAAGTTTGAGACTAAACAAATCTGACTTTATGACGTCAAAAGTGGATTGCAAAAGCTGGAAAACCTTAGCAACTGTTTTAGTTCAACAATAAATAACTGTATCATCAGCATATAAAAAGGTAAGGATGCATCAGGGATGCTCTGACCTACATTAGCTAAGTAGATTGTAAAGAGGGTTGGTCCTAAGACTGAGCCTTGTTGTACACCATTGTTGACTGTTAAATAACTGGAAGTACTACTATTATGTTGAACACATTGCCTCCGATCTGAAAGATAGTTAGAGATCCAACCGAAGGTATGTTCAGAGAAAGCAATTTCTGAGAGCTTATGACACAAGATGTCATGATCCACAGTGTCAAAAGTTTTAGACAGGTCTAAGTAAAGTGCAGCACAATAATCCTTAGCATCCAGTGCTTCAATGTCACTAAAAACCTTCAGTGAAGCTGTCATTGTGCTGTGTTGTTTCCTGAAACCAGATTGATGGAGAGGTCAGATGTTAAATGAGTCCAAATACTTTTTGATTTATTCCTAAATTGTTCAAACTAAATTTAATGTTTATACTGAACCAAGGCACACATGAAAACTATTTACCATGCTTTTTTGTTTCCAATCGTTAGAGCTCCTCACAAGTTTTTTTTTTCTTTTACATAATTTAAAATTTAAACCTCTATAATTCAAAAGTACCCCTTAAAAAAAGGCACAATTTCCAAGTTTAAACTCCTGTCATATTTACTTCTTTCCTTTGTAAATAAAACAAGGTTTTACAAAATTTATTGTATTTTATTCTTAATTACAGTTTGCACAGCATGCTGACTTTTTCAGAATTGGGATTGTAATTAAACCTTTTTAGATATTAACATGAAAATGTACAAAGAACTATTCCATCATGTTCCCAGATTGCTGCTGAAATCCATGTCTCGCTGTATTTCCCCCTAAAATAAAAGACTTCCGGCAGGTTGGCTGCTCGTACAGTGGAGGCATTGTTTGCCACCCGTGTCTTTTACACTGTACCCTCGATTAATCCCCAGTGTCCAGTCAAGCCTCATTAATCTGGATAACTGATATGAATGATGAGGGACTGAGCCTTCCTCTTCTCCCTCCCACTGCCATTGCTCTTTCTCCCCCAGAAAGGAAGTGACCTGCTTGTCTGAACAAGAATCAGGCCACGGCTACACAGCAGGACGCCATTTATTTTTGTGCCCTCTGCACAAGTTCATACACACATAAATGCTCGTTTAAAGATCACTTTTTGTCAACTTCTCTTAAGGTTTTATTGGTCAACAATGCCCTCAGCCTGCAGGCAGACAATCATTTCCTTACTACAACAGGCATGTTCAGTCGTTGGGTAAGTTATCATTAATAATACAATAATTTGGAATCTTATCTTTAGGGTTGAATGAAAAAAGTAAAAAAAATAAAACAAAACAAACAAAAACAAAAACCAGGTCAGAGCAAAATGGGTTGAAATCAGGTCATAAAACATGGGAATGAAAGGGAAAAGATTTGTTTCTCAAACTCTAGTACCTTTCATTTTGAGCTACCTATAAAAAGTGGTAAAAATATATATACATTTCACATTATTTTTCAGTTCTATTAAATTATCTCATATCCACTGAATGGATATCTCTTCTAGTGCCCCACCCCTTCTCCCAGTACTCCACACCGCCTCCTACCCATTCCTGGGAAAATCTGTTTACTGCCCACTATAAATGCACCTATTCTGCCTTCCTCTCCTCCACTGCCACAAAGAGGTCATTATTTCTGAGAACAGAACTCAGTTTCAGGACGAAAGTCCCATTTAAGTATTTTATAGCTAGAATGCCTTCCTGTTCAGTTACTCTCTTTTTTCTTCTGCTTGCTGGACCCAGCAGCAAGTTAGTCAGTACTGGTAGAGGTAGGATGGGGTTGGAGGGCCATGTAAGGACAGAAGGGGGGGATCGATCTGAACTTACGAACAAGGGTGGAGATAAAGCTGACAGCAGGAAAAAAACTGAAACTGGAGATAAATCTGCGTTTAAACCAGGAGTTACAGCAGAAGAAGTTGGGAAAGTGTGGCAGGACTTGGGTACCACATCTAACTTCAGGTCCACATTCTCATTCAGCGACAGTCGACGATGGGAACCTCGCATCTCCTCTCACTGTGTGCCCATCCCAACAGGCATGGCCTTGTGCCTGAACATAAGCTACGACACCATGAGGATGCCAAACCTGCTGGGCCACGAGTCTCCAGCCGAAGCTGTGCAACAGAGTGCCAGCTGGTTGCCACTCCTTGCCAGAGAGTGTCATCCCGACGCCCGCATATTCCTCTGCTCTCTCTTTGCTCCCATCTGCCTCGACCGGTATGTTTACAAAGTCAAGCCCTTTAAATATACCTATTAGTTGTATGAACTGTGGCTTTTGAGACACAGTAGTGACAGCAAAAGTATAGTTTTATCAATACAAAGCACAATTTTAAACAGTTAGGTTAATTGCTATGTTAAATTGGGGCAGTGTCCACAAAGGAGAACACCTTTTGACACTTCTGTAAACTGGCGCTAGGCTCTGGTTTCACACAGAAAATCTAGATTTATCATACGACCACCATTTTCCTTTTTGTCACATAAGCACCATTTAGTTGAGAGAAAAAAAAAAAACGGACACAAAATATTTTCTAACCCAAAGATGTGTGTTTTTGTTAACATATATTTCTCTGTGTGGCTCTTTTAATAGGTTTATTTCACCCTGCAGAAGTTTGTGTGAATCTGTGCGGGACAGGTGTGCCCCAATCATGAGTTGCTATGGCTACCCCTGGCCTGAAATCCTCCGGTGTGACCAGTATCCCGCGGATCATTTGGTGTGCATCTCCTCAGTCACCAACACCACTGTTCACACAGCGGTAGGCAGAGGTAAGAATCTACAGGCATAATTAAGCTGACTTCATTAAACCAATCAATTAATTAGTGGTCCAACTCTTTCAGTGCCTCAGGCAAGCTGCCGGGATTGTGAGCTGGAGGAGGGCTCTTCTTCAAAGGACACACTGGAGACCTTCTGTAAGAGTGATTTTGGTGAGTACAAGCTTTCCTCCATCCGTAACCACACTCTAGACCTATTTTTGTTTATAACTAACTAAAGTCAGCCATTCAATAAACAGATCTTACTAAAACAATTTGTTTATCTGCTGCCTTTCCAGTAGTGAAGCTGCGTCTGATGAGGCTCAAATACAGTCCCGTAAGTCTTTCTCAGTTCTCACTAGCTGCCAAGCTGGACGTTCTAAAGTATGGGCCCCTCTTCGGGGGGCACATTCGTTCCCGTATTGAGCTGTGGCTGGAGAGGGATGCAACCTGCGTACAGAACATGGTCCGTCAACATCCACGAGGCGGCACCTTCCTGGTGTCGGGCACGGTGCACGGGGAGCACCTGGTGGTCAACAAGGCTTACGTTTGGCAAAGACGAGACAAGAACCTAATGGCGGCTGCACAGAAATGGAAAACTCACAGATGCAGGACTAATGTCTTATTTTAGTGAAGTTTAACTCAACTGGGCAGCAAACTCTGGTTAGGAAGTACAGTTGAGAAAATTTCCATAAAGCTGCAACTGTAAACAATTTGAATGATTTTAAGCGAGGGAATAAAAAAAAAAAAAAAAAAGAAAAAAAATTTTTAAAAAAAGTGCATCAAAATCTAAAAAAAAAAAAAAAAAAAAAAAAAAAATCACATGGAAGAGAAAAGTTCTTAAATGTTGCTAAACGTAAATACTGTAATTGTACACTATGAGTCAGAATGCTGGTGTGCACATTTGTTTGCAGCATTTGTTTCTGTTGGTCTTTTTAATGAAATGAATAAGCAAAATACAGTATGTTTCTAAACGGCTCTCATAAATTTCACAAATTGTAACCTAGATTTAAAACAAGAAGACGAACTAGATCTAATTTAAAGGCTAATAATAGCATGATTATCGGTATGTGAGCTGAGCCAAATTTAAGAATACGATGTTAGGACACACCTTGTCAAAAAGATTTAAGGAAAACTGTGAAAACTTGTATTACTGACCAGAGTGACAAGTTATATTACCCTTTCCATAATCCTGTGTTCAACCCCATTGTTGCTTATGTGAAAATTATTTTCTTTAAAAATATCTGAAGTGTGTGTTTCTTTAATGAAGATGATTTCTGAGACAACCTTTACTCCTGAATGTCTTTGTATAATAACTGGTACTTTTATTGAACAATATTCCTTCAACTTGTGAAATGAGAACTTTGCAGACATTACAAGTAGCTGAACTGCCTCCATTCCGCCCCAGTCTACAATATTTACATACCAGACATTAAGACAAACAGGTCCCTGGTTCAAACCCCGGTCCAGGGGCCTTTCTGGGTGGAGTTTGCATGTTCTCTCCGTGCATGCGTGGGTTTTCTCCGGGTACTCCGGTTTCCTCCCACAGACCAAAAACATGCATGTTAGGCTGATTGGTAACTCTAAATTGTCCCTAGGTGTGAGTGAGAGAGAGAATGGTTGTTTGTCTCGTTTGTCTCTATGTGGCCCTGTGATGGACTTGCGACCCGTCCAGGGTGTACCCCGCCCCTCGCACAGTGATTGCTGGACATGGGCACCAGCGACCCCCGTGACCCAAAATGGAATAAACGGGTAAAGATAATGGATGGATGGACATTAAGACAGCATTGTACCATTCCCTGAGCTCTTTGTTTATAACATCTCTGTGGTAGCTAATATGAAATAAATAAAAATAATTATTTCTGTGCTCAATACAATTCACACAGAGATGTCATAAAAATAAAAGAGATCAGAATATCATCCAGCAGTCAGTCATGCAGTCACTAATCACAGCATATATTTCAGCACACTTACCAAACAGCAAAGGTTTCAGGCTGAGTGTCTTCATCTCATGTAGTCTGTCCGGTACAATGGACACCTGCTGAACGTGTCCAACCTGCAGGCCCACAGATAACAGTTCTATTATATGATGGCATGGAGCCATTTTAGTGATAAATAGCATGTAATATCTGTACAACCCCTGGTAAAAATCAGGAATGACCACTCTTGCAAGATGTTCTTAACAAACGACAAACATGCCACAAAATTATCATTTTTCAAAATTACAACCCTAAAAATATAAAATAATTGTCGTCAGTCAATTACTTTTTAGATTAAGAGGGAAATATTCACTTTTCTCATAATTCAATAGTTTTTTTCTGCTCAAACTAAAAAGTAATTGCACTCTTCACCATCAGAACTTTGTCGCACCACTTCTGGTTTTAATAACAACTTGAAATTATCTGACGCATGGACCTAACTCATGACAAACAGTATTTTTCATCAAGCTGGCTCCAACGGTCTCTTGTCAGATCAGTGTTGAAAGGTTGGAGCCATTTTCTTCAATTTCCACCAGAGATTGCCAACTGGATTGAGATCCGGATTACTTGCACTACTACCATTGACTTTTTGTCTTTCTTGAAGGAAAGTTTTCACATGGCCCGATGGCAACATGTATTATCTTCTTTAAAAAAGTAAGTTTTCATCACCAAACATACTTTCAATTGATGAAGTGAGACAAGTGTCCAAAGTTTTGACATAGATTTAGACATTTATTGAAAATGTAATGACTGCCATCTATCCTGTGCCTTTACCTGACACGCAGGATTAATTAAACAATAGCTGTGCACATTTATACATTTTCTTCAGGCAGTCGTCTTCACAATCTTCTGTTTGGGTGTTAATGAAGGCTTTCATTGAACTTTTTAGTATGTAAATCCCATTTCTTTTCTTTGATTTCTTACAGTTCAGTCACAGACATTAGCTCTATTCCTGCCCACTTGTTATGCTTTGTTGTGTAATTTCTGTTTTCAAGACAAATGGCTTCAAGTTTTCCATCTTGACACTTTGATGTCTTCCTTGGTCTACCATCATGCTTTTTTACATCCTTCCCATTTTGTTCTCGTGTTGGAGCCAAGGTTCGTATAAATCTGCTCTGCTCAACAGCTCTCAAAGGTGTGTGCACTCTTGTTTTAATTGGACTAAACAGATTTAATCTGATGGTTGTTTGTTTTACAACTGCAAATAACAAGAGTGGTTCCATAAATTTTGCCAGCAGTTGTAGTTTTGCATATCTTTGTAGCTTTATGATCTGATTGTATACATTTATGCTATTGGGTTTCTAACAAGGTTAAGTCAGGTCATCTGCATGGATTCTTCTTTGTCGAATTCAACAAAGAAGAATCCATCCAGATGATCTGACTTAACCTTGTTAGATTTTTCTACCTGGATTATTGAGCATGCATCAAGACGTAATGGGTTTCTTCATTTAAGTCATTTCAGCTATAATGTGGTTTGAACTTGTGTTATTACGTAGCTTGGCTGTTGTTAGGTTAGTGACAATTACTTTTCATGTGATCAGTGTGTTATGAGTGTTTGCCTGTCTCTTACCCGTATCCCCTCAATACGATGGAGACTGAAACTCTGGCTGTAGTCCTCCTCGTCCTGCAGCTTTTCGAAGGATGGAGGAGCAGGTTGGGGTAGACTTCTGCTGTCACGGCCTGGAGCAGAGGCATCCCCGTCTCCACCAACTAAATCCGCCGGGCCGTTGTTGTAGTGCACGTACAGCAACAAGCCGATAATATTCAGGATGTACACATGGAAAAAGACCATGACCACAACGAAATAAGCCCGAGAGCACACACTACTTCTCTGGATGTGCAACCGCGTGGACCGAAAAGGAACATTGTAACGTGATGATAGTGCATTTTTGATTATTTGGAATTCCTCTTCCTCCTGCTCCAATAAATCCTCCTGAATCTCTTCCATTTTTTCCACCGTACGATTATAAACCAATGTCAAAGACAACAAGAGTCGACTAGGTTTGTTTACCGTCAACGTTGGTTGGCTGATCTACATTAGCAAAACCTTAGCTGTCAAGCTAACTAAACCAAACCACAACGCAAACCTCTAGGTGGTTCGGGAAAAAGCGATTCCGTCAGTGCAGCTTCGAGTAAACAAGTAAATATGCCAGTTCTCGTTTTTATTAACATATACAAGTGCCATCCTTACTAATGTCTCCGATCCTTGTTAGCTAGCTGGCTGATACGCTATCCTAACAACACGCCTAACAACAGGACAGAGTAATGGACTGCACCCCATCCTCAGCCCTGCTTACAAAGTGGCTAGCCGGGTGGGCGGAGTTTGCACTTCATTCCAAGCGGTAAGTGGAAGAATCCCACATTCTACCCAAGTCGCCAGCCGTTTAATTAAAAAGGAACGCGCCGGTAAGCGAACGTAATACATCTACAAAACAGTCGTTCATGTGCTGCTGTAAATTGTTTGCGCCCTCTATCGATCAATGCCAGAATAACAACCATGACAAGCATATTCTTGTCAATGTTTTCAATTTATCAATACTGTAATTTTAACCGTTTTAAAAAATATATTGCTGACATTGATTTCACATACACAGATTTCTCATTTAAAATAAACTACAGGAGAAGGTTAGAGGAGCAGTGTTCTTTTAGGAGCGACTCAAAAATCAGAGACTAGTTCATCAACAATTTCCTGCGGGACCAATAATGTTCCATAGGCGTAGCCAGGATTTTATGAGGGGCGGTTCGTTTGAAGAAAAAGTGGACCTGTAGGACTACTCTGATTGGTTCATTGGCGGTGGTACACATAACTTCAAATGTGTAAACAAGCTAATTAGCTAGCTAGTTAAAACACTGCTGTGTGAGGTAAATCTGTGTTACCAAATAGGCGGTTGTGAGTGGAGAAAGAGCAACACACTGAGAGGGGAATAGCGTGTGTGTCCAGTCTTCTATTCAGAACTCATCCCAGACACGAACGAACACTTCGGTACTCCCGAGTCCCGCCCGAACATACACAAAAAAAAAAAAAAACACCGAAGAAGAATGAAAGACGTCATCCTCTTAAAGGCACAGTACCACTCCTTAACTCTAACAACATAAATGCAAACTAAGCCCGCAAATAATAACATTACTTCAATTGCAAAAATAACTCATCTTTTTACTTTGCTTTGTTAGACATTGTTTTTTATGAATGAAATTACTTCACCTCGCAGTTCTATATCTCGCGGGAGTTGTAGGTGGGACTTCATTGGCAAAGTGGGCGGTTCGTTCGAACCCCCCGAACCCCCCCTGGCTACGCGCATGTGTTCTATCTTATCTTATCTTATCTTATCTTATCTTATCTTATCTTATCTTATCTTATCTTATCTTATTTAAGGTTAGTTCGCAATGTTAAAATCATCTCATGATGAGCTCTCATGTTCAGGCACAAAACTGAACAAAAGTGATAAAAGCATCAAGGTCTAATGAAATACAAAAACATTAAATAAAAACATCAAAATACCTCTTTTATTTCTAAAATGCAGTATATTATATTAGTTCCACTTGTATTTTTCTTGTTACTTTTACAACCTTTCCATCTTGATGAAACAGGTCTGCAGGGACTTCTGCATCTACTTGTGTTACACATGATAAACTAAAACATATGACCTGGATGGCAGGCACAGAACTTTCTCCATCTAAACCATGACAAAACAGAAGTTTTAATCATTGGACTGGAGGTTCAAAAAGAAAATACAATTCAGACATTACAATCTTTGTCTTTAAAACCTTGCAAAAAAAAAGAGGCCTTGAGCTGCAGAGAATGTTGTTGTTTTTAAGAGCAGGCTCAACACCCATCTTTTTAACTACATTTCCTGAACTGGTTCATCTCTGTTCAGTCTATACATTTTCCATATATTATTATTTTTTGTTTTTTGTTTTTTTGTGTGTTGTTTACTTTTATTTTGTGGCTTTATTGATTATAATTCTGTACAACACTTTGAGCTGCTTTTAGTATGAAGGGTGCTTTATAAATAAAATTGATTGATTGAGTGACCTAATATTTTTCTCTATCTCTTTTCATTTGTGATTATGACGGAGATAATAATGAAAATGTTTTTCACTGTCAGTCTTTGGATGTTAATGAGTGTCATTGTTATAGAATGAGGAAATATCTGCTGCTTGGAACTACCACAGAGACTGGCTTTGGGACTTGGACAGGTTTGTCTTTCTGCCAACGTGTTTTTAAAGTCAAGTCAGATTTATTTATATAGCACATTTAAAATAGAAATAGTTACTAAAGTGCTTAACACAGCAGTGAGTCCAAGATTGAGTCAAAACATTCCCAGATGAACAGTGATATTAATGAAAGGGAGGGTTTTATGGCTATTTTATGGGACCTACAATTGGAGAGGCTAAACAAAAAGTTCATTGTTCATAGTTTCTTCTTACTATACACCCCTGTTTATGTTGATATTTGTACGGTTTCATCATCACCTAATTTACTTAATTTTCTGATTTAGTGCCATTCAAAGCACCCCCCCCCCCCCCCAAAAGAATTTGATATAAAGTTTATTTGGCCTCTGAGTGAAATCAATCTTCAGTTCTTTAAATCGACCACACGGTGGCGACAAAGGAGAGATACCAGCTGCCACTACAACTGTGTTTTCTAGCGTTACAGATCGCATTAATAAGTAGCTTTCTCTTTTTACTTTGGCCCCCTCCCCCATAAAACATGAAAATAATCATGTGGATTGCCCTCTTGTGTGCACGGTTTAAAAAAAGAGGACATCCATGCTACTTTGTGTAATAATTTGTTTTATTAAGAGACAACTAATTGATTTGTTTTGTACATTTTTAGTTGTACTACCTTTAGCTAAGCTTTAGCTATTTTAGCTATCATTTTGCTACTGTTAGCTTAGAGTTAAGCAGAACCTTTGTTTAGACTGGTTAATCCCATTGAACCAAGGGGACTCAGAGACCTGAAGTTAGCATGCGCTACTAACTTTTAACTAGCCATTTGCTGCTTTTAACTAACCTCTACTTTTACCTAACTTTTAGCTAATCTTTTACTACTTCTAACAAATGTTTCACTACTTTTAGCTAACATTTTACTACTGTATTTTAAGCGTTAAGCTTTTTGCAAGCCTTTCGCTACATTTAGTTGACATTTTGCTGCTTTTAACCTTAATGCTACTTTTACCTAGCTTTTAGTTACTTTTAGCTAGCCTTTTTCCAACAAATGTTTCACTACTTTTAGCTAACATCTTACTAGCTTTGAGCATTTTGCTGTTTTTTCTAGCCTTTCCCTAATAGTTGCAATTTTGCTGCTTTTAACTAACCGTTTGCTACTTTTGCATAGCTTTTAGCTACTTTTAGCTAACTTTACTTGTTTTAACAAATGTTTCACTACTTTTAGCTAGCATTTTACTATTTTAAGCTTTGAGCCTTTTACTAGCCTTTTGCTACATTTAGTTGACATTTTGCTGCTTTTAACTAACCCTTTACCTAGATTTTAGCTACTTTTAGCTAACTTTTCACTGGTTCTAACAAATGTTTCACCACTTTAACATTTTACTATTTTAAGCTTTAGGCCTTTTGCTAGCCTTTCGCTACATTTAGTTGACATTTTGCTGCTTTTAACCTTAATGCTACTTTTACCTAGCTTTTAGTTACTTTTAGCTAACCTTTTTCCAACAAATCTTTTACTACTTTTAGCTAGCACTTTACTATTGTATGCTTTGAGCCTTTTACTACTTTTTGCTAGCCTTCTGCTTTTAGGTAGCATTTTTCAAATTTTAGCTTTTAGGTAGTGTTTTGCCTTTCAGCTGGTTTTGCTCTTTTTGGATTTTTACTGGTATTGTGATTATTTCAGGTTTTTACTAACCATTTGCTGCTATTACCAAATGTTTTGTTAGTTTTTATTTGACCTTTTGCTTATAGCTAGCATTTAGCTAGTATTTTGCTTGTTTTAGCTTTAACAAGTCAGTTTCAGCTCGTTCAGGAAAGTCCAGTTTTCATGATAATGCATCACTCAGAGATGCTCCTGTATTTAAATGGGTATTGGATAATGGCGGCTCATTTGTTTCATCTTTTTTTTTTTGGGGGGGGGGGGGGGGGGGGGGGGGTGGATATTATAGGGGCCTAACACACGCTCCTCTCACGCACGCACACCCCTTGCGGTGTTTTCCGGGATCACGCCTCTGCTTCCACTCGGGATCCACGCAGCGGCAGCGGCTCATCTGGCTCATCATCACCGGACGGGACGCGGCTCCGGAGCGAAAGTTGACCCAGAAGAATGATTTACTCCAGGCTAACGAAGCGCTCCGTCGGGCGGCGGGACACGGCGACACGTCGAGCGACTCTGGGATAAGCGACATCCGACAGGGGCAACGTCGTGCTTTCGGACGGGGAAGTAGTTGCAGGAACTTGTCGCAGTGGCTTCATCCCACCGGATTACCGCACGCGAGAGGAACAATAGTCTCCTGCGGCAGGATCAGCAGCAGGTCGGTGTGGCTCTGTTCACGGCGGGCCTCTTGCCCCTCCACCTTTAACACATTATTCACACACTGCAGGTGTTTTATTTGAACCTAAATATGTAAATGGCGCAGCACTGAGTGTGGGAGTCTTGGCGGCTCGGATGATTGTCCCTCAGCTCCTCCAACATTCAGCGGGGCAGCGTCAGCCCGTCTGGCGGCAGAGAGTAACTTTTTGTTGCCCCAGCCTGACTCTCCTCCTCCCGGATGTGTGCGTCAGGAAAGCCCGGGGAGAGAGGGACTGACCGAAGCTCCAAAGGCCCGGAGGAGGTGGAGGAACCTCCGGATCATCAGGAGGTGGAGGTGCAGTGTTCTCAGAGCGCCTCCTCATCTGGGAGGATCGTTTAGCGCTAAATTATTTATGCGCATCTCACTGCGGGATGTCCAGATTGGAAGCTCCGAGTCTGCGCATCAAAGCAGACATTAAACACGAAGAGTCCCAGAGTGTTTGGGTGGTTGATGGTTTTATGACTCAGATACTACTTGTTATTTTCTTTTAGCTCTTAAATGGGTTCGATTTAGTGGCATTTGTATCTTATTATTATTTTTTTTTCTGTTTTACAATGTGGTCTGTTTTTGTCAGCATAATATCCCCTAAACCACTGGACGAATTTTATTGAAACTTAATGAAAGCAAATTTGGAATCAGATTCAAGATGGCTGCCAAGGCCACACACAAACAAAACAAACTAAGACAAACATCACACAAATGGCTAAAATTCCTCCAGTGTTGCTGATGTTGAGCTAAAATTTGGTGTTGATCTCAAATTACGAGTGCTAACAGACTGTACAAAGTTTGCCATAAATTATTTGTAGAAAACTATCTGTTAGCAAAATATCTTGTGAACCACTACACAGATTTTCTTGAAACTTTCAGGAAATGATCTGAAACTACAAGTGATTTTATGTTTTGGAGCTAGCTCTCTTTAAAGATGGCTGACACAGCCACATGTGACATGACCTTAAAAAACCAGGCTGTAAAATAAAATTAACTTAACATTGGCTGTAATTCAGGTAATCGTACAGGTAGTGAGTTGAAAGTTGTGACAGTAGCTGAGATTCATTTAAAAACATATAGTGTGGCATCTTGCAATATTGCATGGGACATTGTTTTTCTTTTTCCAGTGTTTGACCACACAGCTACAACTTTGCCCTCGTTAGTCTAAAACTCCCGTATGCAAGGTGGTGGATTATACGCATCTCTTAAAGGAATTACAGGCCTGCAACTATTATTGAGGCTTTATGAGAACCGTTTCTAATTTTTGCCTTCAGAGGAATATTCCTCTTGTTGGTTCTGGACAGTAAAAACTCGCTGACCACAGGAGACTGCTGTAATTCCTCTCATGGTGAAGAAAAGCTCTTTTTGACCCGAGGAGGCAGGAACATCACTGTCGGTCTCTACAACCCAGAGACATCTTCATGAATGATGAGCTCAAACATGGAGGATTATCCTCCCGGTCCACAGCACTCAAGAACCAAAAGACCAGATAGACTAGATTGTGACAGCAAACGCTTGAATGTGGAAGACTAAAATCAAAGTGAATCTGTACCAAGACGGTGGGAACAAAAGAGAAGATATTTAATCATGGCCTCTCTCAAACATGGTGGGGGGCAGTGATGTGGTCTGGTACATTAAGTAAATCTACAAATATGATTTTAGAAAATTCAAAAGTGGCTTTAACTCTTGTCAAATTTACATATATTGAGCTTATCTTTGGTGCGATAGTAGCAGAAAATCAGTCCCATCACGTGATTTAGTGCTTGCAGATTATAAAAAAAATTAACTTTGGTGATGGTGATTAGAGGCAGCACGGTGGCGCAACTGGTAGAGCTGCTGCCTCTCAGCGACAAGGTCCTTGGTTCAAACCCCGGTCCAGGGGCCTTTCTGGGTGGAGTTTGCATGTTCTCTCCATGCATGCGTGGGTTTTCTCCGGGTACTCCGGTTTCCTCCCACTGACCAAAAACATGCATGTTAGGCTGATTGGTAACTCTAAATTGTCCCTAGGTGTGAGTGAAAGAGTGAATGGTTGTTTGTCTCATTTGTCTCTATGTGGTCCTGTGATGGACTGGAGACCCGTCCAGGGTGTACCCCGCCCCTCGCACAGTGATTGCTGGACATGGGCACCAGCGACCCCCGTGACCCAAAATGGAATAAACGGGTAAAGATGATGGATGGATGGATGGATGGATAGTGATTAGACTATATGCATTTCTTCAAGGAATGCTAGTTTTATTTAATGATGTTACTACAGATGGAAGTAATACTCTAGTACAGGTCCCAACACTGGTCCTCGAGGAACACTATCCTGCATGTTTTAGTTGTTTCTCTGCTCCAACACACCTGATTCGTGTTTTAATTACTTCCTCAAGTTGTGCAGAAGACTGTTAATCATCCATTCATTCAAAGCAGGTGTGTCAAAGCAGGGAAACGACTAAAACAATGCAGGATGGTGTTCCTCAAGGACCATGGTTGGGATCCCCGTTATATAAACAGAACAAAACTTTCAGCCAAAAATAGTTTTTATCTCAAAAACTGATCATATCTGGCTTCAGAACAGATGATCAACGAAGTGAAATGGAAGGTGCTGCACTTTTCAACAAGTAGTTTTTTCAGTTATGCATTATTTTTTAATATATTGCTTCACAAATTAGGAAGGGATTTGTTTTGACCTTTGTTCCTTTTGGTTGTTCTTCGGTCTCTTTCCATTTCTTCTCATCAACTTCCTGGACATTTAAGTCGTGATGGAGGCGATGCAGAGGAGAAGTCATCGGGTTTGTTCTGAGAGAAATGGACGGTTGTTCGCTTTATCTGGCTACGTGTGCGTTCGTGTGTGGGATTCTGAAGTTGGGTAGATTTGTGCATTACTCATGCATCCCCAGGCTGCTGCTGCACGGACAGCAGTGTTTGGAGTGGCTCCACTCCTCCACTGTGCCACATTGCATGTGTGTGCAGGCATGCATGCATGATTCATGCATTTGTGAACTGCAGGAAAATGCATGCTTGTAAAGGAAGAGAAGGAAAGAAAGAAAGGTGGAAGGATGAAAGATTTTTAGGACTGAAAAACAAATGCAATCTTGATTGGAAAAAAAAAACATGTATAAAATAAAAAAAATCCTTGAAAGCAAATGATGCAAGGCTATTAGTGCATCTGTAATGTCAGAAGAGCTTTTGTGTGTGTGTGTGTGTGACCTCAGATCCATTCATTGTTTTGCTTTCAAGAGACATAATTAGAACAGGAATCCCAGGGCCAGACTATCAGGACTGCATGATTCAGGGCTCTGTGGAGACCTACAAACTGGAGGGATGAAGTTTTGAAAGCTGACATGGGCATTTTTGAGTGTGCGCGCATGTGTGTGTGTGTGTGTGTGTGTGTGTGTGAACTGAGATATAAATTGTGTTGTGAATTTTCATGTCTCTCCCCGTCTCTTTTTTTTTCCGTCTCTTCACCTCAGAGACAGAATCTGTGGTTCTGGCCCGGGCCTGTAACCTAGCAACCCAAATGGTGTGTGTGTGTGTGTGTCTTGAATAAATCAGACTTTCCTCTTCCTCTTCCATCTTTTTTTGGAGTGTGAGAGTTCACCTCACCTACCAGACGACCTCCGTGCAGCTGCTCTGCACGTGTCGTGCATGTGGAAACATACGCTCATAGGTTGCTCAAAGAAACGGACGAGTCGCTTTGTAAGACTAAGAGGTTTTATTCCTTTACTTCTTTATGTCACTTACCTTGTTAACCTTTGCTCTTCTGTGTTTGTTGTCATCACACTGCTCCTGTTTCACTTCTTATTGTTGAGCTGTGCTGCTCTAAATCACATGAAATGCCTGCGTGACGTTTGAATAAGTCGGACAGTGAAAGTTGTCTCCATCATCTGTTGTCCCACTGATTAGCGCCACTGACTAGAATTGCCACTTTGACAGTGCTACGTGAGGCTTGTGACTGCCGTCTTGCTAGGTTCACCTATACCTCAAGGATACGGAACTCTCTTCTGAGGACCAAAACGTTCACATTTTGCACCGAGAAGACGGATGGTTTGAGAGGGGGTGAAGGAAGTCATCTATGTAAAAAGAGAGACGCCATCTTTAAATAGAGGAGAAGGTCTCAGATTTCAACTGTCAAAAACCGATAATGGAGCTTTAGTCCTGATACCCAGTCACGTTCACTCCAATCAAGAACTTCATTCATGTGACCAGAGTGGCTCATCTATGAGTCAGCCTAACAACGACTTAACGAACCTCTATTGTGAGGAGTGAGAGGGAAATCTGCATGTGAATCCAGTTTACACAACACCTCAACTTATAACTCAAACTCCACACTCTCCATTCTTTGAATTGAGAAATCTCCTTGGATGAGAAGTGAACTGTCTTCAGTTACAAAGTAAAGTCCAGCTGTATGGTTTTTAACCTTTTTCTTTATTTATTTACCATGTCCTGGATGACTGAGAATCTTCACCTGCATCTTGCTAGGTGCGATGTGTATCACTCTGTGCTGTTTACACGTCAAAGCCTCACACAAAGCCAGGTTCTTCTGCTGTGTGGGTGCTGCATGCTGGGTCTCCAGTCCAAAAACTTCTAGAATTCGCCTTAAAGAAATAAATGTCAAGCATGATGTGAGAGTGGAGAAGTGTATTCTGTTATCGGCCTCCTCCCACCAAGCCTGCTCAAGCAGAAGGGGTAGATAAAATGCACTGATACTAGTACATAAGTTTACTTTAAGTAATTGTACTTTATATGTCTGCTTAGTCTAACCAGAGCTCTGTTACTAATCTCTTTAGTTAATTTTACTTAGACTAGTAGCTTTTTCATTTTCCTCATAATTCTAAAAACATTTGAGCCTTACATTGGCCTGTCGCAATAAACAAATCAATTAATCGCATGATAAATGAAAATGATCAACTTCATTTTCATTTATCGGCTTTGTTTCTTCCTGTCTCTCTCTTTCTACCGAAGACACTGGATGACAACAAGCTCAACTCCGGTGCTTTTCACTGACCCCTCCCTTTCTCTGTTTTCTTTAAAATCCATTTTAACTGTCCAAAATCGCGTTTCTAGATGGTTAAAAGCAGCTACGCTGAGAACCTAAGCTACGAGCTAAGCTAACAGGCCAACTTTGGGGAAAAAACCTCCGTCTTGTTCAAGCTCAAATTCATGGTTGAAACCCGTGTCTTTGTGTAAAAAGTTTGTCTCTGCAAAAAGAAGCTGAGAACTTGTTTACTGATTTTTTTATTTTTTATTTTTAAATTAAAAGCTTTGCATGAAAAATGCTATGCTAAAGAGCTCAAACCACACAGAGCGTCCGCCATTTTGAGAACTGAAGAGACAGCCCATGTCACGTCAAGGGGCCTCTCTCCCATTTTTCTCAAAGAGACACGCTGCTCGCTCCCTCACTATCCATCCTTCGGTTCAAACAGTCTTATACTGCCATCCGGTGGTCAAAAAAAGGTACAACACGGAAAACAAATGAACAAACATTTCTTCTTAAATTTGGCAATAATTACTAATTATTGTCAATTTTCAAACAATATTATCGTTTATCGCAATAATTTTTGAGACAATTAATCGCCCAGCAAAATTTGTTATTGTGGCCTAGCTTTACATTCAGTTCAGTACTTGGACAAGGATAAATGAGTTTTGTACCACTAAAGATGCAAAAACCAATTATGGACATAATTCGTTTTTAAAGACTTATGGCTATTTAATAAATAATGTCTCATTTGGTGCACAAAACTTGTTCACCACTGCACATCTACATCCGACCAGTTTCAATAACACATTCATAATGCTTTTATTAATTCTAAAACTTTATGTAAAACTGACCGTTACAGATACACTCATGGTATCTGAAACGTCCCCTTTCTAACTCGGTTGTCAAAGGATAAATTTGGCAACAAAATTGAACTGAATTGAAAATGCTGCTTAAGTAAAAACATTCAAATGTTTTTTGTTTTTTCCAGCCAGTAAGCAGCTAAAATATTTAATCTTGCACAAACACATTTAAAAGCTCTTTCTTATTGACCTTGCATTAAAAAAAAATCCCAACGAGTAATTGCCCAACTGTTCAGGCAATAATTAAATAAATAAATAAATAAATATATATATTTTCATTAATTGTAAACTGTTTGCTTATTTTTCCAGGTGTCAAATGCAGACTATAATTTATTTTATTTATTTATTTTTTCAGGTCTCTCTTGTAAATGAGTCCTTGAGGCTCAATGGGACTAACCTGTCTAAATAAAGGTTGAATGAATGAATAATAATATAATCAACACTCAGAATCTTTACGAAATATTTATTCAAATTAACGTAAGCTGAAGGTTTTTCTCTTCTTTTGCCGACCGAGATTGAGTTTACAAATCCTGTTGGTACCAAATCAACTCTGATAAAGACTGTGAAATTAGTTCTTATTGTGTGTGTGTGTGTGTGCATGCGTGCACATGTCTGCATGCTTAGATATGATCCTGAGTGTGTGCTGGTAATAACATTGCTCTAATAACTGAGTAATGAGTAATAAGATGAGCTTCACCAGCTGTTTCTCATAATGTGACTCATTTATTTCTGATGATTTCTGAATGACAGATCCAGGATAGTGTTGAAGAAATATAGTTGGGTTGTTTGGAGTGTTGGAAAATATGTAAATAAGGTGACAAATGATACGAGATAAATGAGGGTTCCTGTTGTTTAGCTTTCAGATTTCCTTTTGAACTTTATCGCCTGCAGCCAAAATGCAAAGATACTGTGTGTGTGTGTGTGTGTGTGCTCCAGCCTTCATCTGTGTGCAGAATATGCCTGACAGTATTTTCAAGATTTTAACCAAAATGGCTACAGCTTCTTCATTACTCATCGTAAAATGATTTAAATCTCCTTGAAATGCGTCCGATCAGATGCATTCTTTTAAGGAATGCTAGGCCTTTTATTTGTCTCATAAGAAACATCCGAACACCCTCGTCTGAGCTGTCAAAGGTAATGTCAATGCATCCTCTGTTCTCTTAAGCAAAGGAAAGCCAGTTGTCCTGAGCGAGGATGCTTTGAATTCCCTCCAAGCGCTGCTTGACTCTTACAGGCCTGAAAGACGGGGAGCCTGAAAGGCTTTTGTTGAAGAATCCAAGGATGGCCTCAACGTGAAGGGCAGTGTGTGTGTGTGTGTGTGTGTGGTGGGGGTGTTGTAATACCAATTACAGTTCATTAAATTGTCTGTGTGCTACATTTAGCTGGTAAAACATTAATTTCTTGAGGTAAAACTAGTTTCTTTTAAAGGACGGGAAACTTTGTGCAACATTTGTTTATGACTCAAAGGCATTTGCATAGAGTAGTAGTTTAATAAATAACCTATGAATAATGTAACATTCATTCTATTTTCAGGTCTCTCTTGTAAATGAGTCCTCGAGGCTCAATGGGATTAACCTGTCTAAATAAAGGTTGAATGAATTTTGCTTTAAAATAAATTTCAGACAGTCATTGTTAAATCCCTGAGGTCCGTTGAGGAAACCTCCTGTGTCACCGAGTGTCAGTCACAGCTTCTCTGAGACCGTTGTTCTCCTCCACAAACCTTAGACGAGTCGCACACTCAGCCGCATTACACGGTATTTTCTTTAGTAAATTGTTGTTATTCTACTTCTCCCTCGCTCTGCACTCCTCTGGGTTTGCCCGTCTCTCATTCTTTGTCTTTTTATTCTGCCATGTTTGCACGGGGGGTGCATAACAATGAGAACACACGCTGCGTGAGCAAACACAATCATCGGAAACCCAAAGAACTTTGGAAAATGCGCAGAGGTCGCACTGCAGTAGTTTCACTGTACACGCTGAAGGTTAACAAGGTGGCGTGCGTCTAGCTGTTGATGGTTATATTGAGGGGAAAATGGCTGTGATTATGGTGCTTGAGATGCTTTGGATGATAATCATCGTGTTTTTCTCTCTCTCCCTCTTTCATTAGGGTAGTGGGCCCCAGTGGTGCAGCTGAGAAAATGGACAGGATGAAGATAATCAAGCGGAGGTTGTCCATGACTCTACGCAGCGCTCGGCCCGTCGATGACTCTCTGTCTGAACTGGCAGAACAGATCGCTTTGGATGAGCCATCTACAGCCAGGGACAACGGTGAGACGTGCACTCTTGCACGTACAGTATACACAAACACCTCAGCAAACACGATCACTCTGGCACACAGAATGTGTGAAGGGGATTATTTTGCAGCTCTTGTTTGAGAAAATTGTGTTTCTAATATAATAGAATATCTGCATTCTATCCATGTCATGCCATTCTAATGGTTGCACAGTTATAAGTTCATATTTTGTATTTTTTATAAATCAATATTTAATGCTATTTCTTTATAAACGTTTTGACTTTAAATAGTCGAGCAAACACAGGTGCATTAAAGAGGGTTGTAGTCCACAAAGAGGAAGTTGTGATTTAGCATTTTGTGTTAAAGAAGCAGTTTGCACAGCTGCAGAAGTGGAACGCAGCCCTGGTTAATACACCTGGGCTTGTTCTAATTCAATCTGAAATCTCTGTTATCAGGTTTGTTTATTTTAAGGTGAAAAAAATGAAGCGTTATTCAAAGGTTATAGTGCTAAAATGATGCTAGTACTTAACAAACTTTTACTAGTGTCAAGCGATAGTTGGCATGTTTGGGTTGTTTTTGAAAACATTTTGAATCGGCTGAGTTTCTTGAAATTTACCCAACAATCAGCAGACACAAACTCGTCTAATCCTCCAATGGTGTTGCATTTTTTCACCAGTATAATCTTAATCACATCTAAAAATACTTATTAGAGTGCTGCAAAAATAGAAAAAAGTAAGCTGAAGTATTTCCTTTGGGCCTTTTTGCCCTTTTAACTTACCGGGTAGACACAGTAACGGAGCTTTAAAAGGCTGCAGATGGACTAAATATTTCATAAAACCTGAAGACATTTTCTTTAAAGAATTGCTCAAAACAATTTCTGAAACAAGATTTTAGACTTTGTACTACCAAACATAACGCTTCTGGATTAAGATAACCTGAAGTAACCTATTTTAAATTACAGCAGGAAGTATTGAGTTTATACTTTGCAGTAGTTTGCTCCTTTTGCACAGAGATGATCTGTTTACCACTTCAACCAGCACATGCGTATGTAAACACATTACGTGTTGGCGTTTTAAGAAATTTGTGTGAATAATCTGTTTATCTCATTAAAGGTGTACAGACGTGCAAGCTCACTAACATAAAGTTCCACCAGTGATTTTTAATCCTCTGGTGTCATCCTCTTTACCATCATTTTTCACAATTATTATCACATATTATCACAATTAACTAATAGGTATATTTTGTTTTTAACTGGTTAAGCATGAAGACTGAAAACCAGAATAGGCTTAGAACGTCAGCGAGTTCCTGAAATTGAGTGAATTCTGTGTTTTCACCCAAAAAGTGAAGGTTTCTTCTAGTGAGGAGAGCTTATTGTGTTTTAGAAAGTCTGGTTGCCATCTGCTGGGACTCGTCCAGGATTACAGGTTCAGCTTTGTTTAATGCCTAAATTTGGGGTGTTACATCTCACTTCTGTTTTAACACGTATATAAAAAAAATAACAAAATGACAAAAGCATCTCATTGTTCAACTATAGCCGTGTTGTGTGGTGCTTCTTTGCTTTTTTTTTTTTTTAAAATGTACAATGTTTTCTCGTTGCTTTTCCAGCTTGAGGGCTGCAACATCCCGATACCCACACCTGATTAATTTTACTCACGCCATGCCATTTTTACAGCCCCCCCCTCCCCCCAACTGTTTGGTCTTTAATAGCTCGGTCTGTGTCAGTTCATCAGTCTGAGAGTGGAGGAAGTGATGTAGAGGATGACGAGAGGACCATTAATGTTCAACAACTGCCCTACATCACCAGCTTCTTTAGCTCTTTTTGCTTTGCTGTGTCATCTCCTCACACTCATGCAAATGCCAACACTCCCTTCCTCACCTCCAGAAGTTGCAAAAACAGCCCTGAGAAGAATCATTACAACGTGATTCAATCTGATAATACATGTTTACTTACTGCGCTATCGTTTCAAAGGGTTAATTCATGAGATATTTTGGTTTTTAAACACCGTGGAGGAGGTGTTTATGATGTTTATTAGCAGAGCTGTTGTTTTGGATTGCTCCTCCTCGCCTTTGTTGCCTGTTTACTTCAATGTCTTTGCTAGTTTTCTGTGTGCATGTCTTCCTTTACTGTCTGTTTCTGTCAACAGCCCTCAATGCGTGTGACTCAGCTTCTTTTTCTCTGTGCATGCCTTGGATTTGATTGCAGTTTCCTTTGCTGTGTACGACTGTTGTTTCTTTCTCGAACCCAAATACTGTTCACATCTTTGCCTTGAATTTATCACTACTACAGACTGAACTGTTATTTCTTGTCCTGCATTCGGTTCGTCTCTGGATTTGGTCTCAGTCTGATTTCATATAATTTATTTTCTTCCAATTGCTTCAGTTTCTTGCCCTGCTTTTTCTGGTTTTGACTCTTTCCCTTTATTTCTTCTTTCTCCTTTTGTCTTTTGCCCTTGTTTCCCATGGCTGTCTGTGTATGTTGTGGATCTCAGTGCCCATGGTGTGCTCCGTGCACCCTCCTGCCTCTCACAGTGCTCCCTCCTTCCTGCGTCAATATGCCGGTCATCTGGGCCGCACCGCCTTACGCAGAGAGCCAGGTGGGGGGCTGGAAAGGGAAAGAGCCTTCCTGAGCCTGCACAGGACTGGATCTTTGGGTATAATTTCACACGTGCAAAAACACACACACTAACAAACCTGTAAGTATGCAAAGACACATCAGGGAACTGAGTTTTCCATTTTATAATACATTATGACCAGTTATTTTTTTTGTTTTTACGATGCGTAGTTCGGCCTGTCACGATAACAAATTTTGCTGGGCGAGTAATTTTCTCAGAAGTTATTACGATAAACGATAATATTGTTTGAAATTTGACAATAGTTAGTAATTATAATAAGTAATTAGTAATTATTGTCAAATTTAAGAAGAAATGTTGGTTAATTTGTTTAGAGTGTAGTACCTTTTTTGACCACCGATGGCAGTATAACATCGTTTGAACAGAAGGATGGATAGTGAGGGAGCAAGCAGCGCGTCTCTTTAATAAAAATGGGAGGGAGGCCCCTTGACGTGACATGGGCTGTTTCTCTTCGGTTCTCAAAATGTCGGACTCTCGGTGTGGTTTGAGCTCTTTAGCATAACATTTTTCACACAAAGCTTTTAATAAAAAATGAGTAAACAAATTCTAAGCTTCTTTTTGCAGAGAAAAACAACTTTTTACACAAAGTCACGGGTTTCAACCGTGAATTTTTGGAGCTTCGACAAGACAGGTTTTTTTCCCCGAGGTCAGCCTGTTAGCTTAGCTCGTAGCTTAGCTTCTCAGCTTAGCTGCTTTTAACGATCCAAAAACGCAATTTGGATCATTAAAACAGATTTTAAATAGAAAGGGAGGGGTCAGTGAAGAGCACCAGAGTGGAGCCTTTTGTCATCCAGTGTCTTCAGAAAGAGAGAGACACGAAGAAACGATAAAGCCGATAAATGAAAATCGGGTAGATAATTTTAATTTATCATGCTATTAATTGATTTATTGTTTATCGTGACAGGCCTATGCATAGTCGAACAAGATTCTAAATTTCAGAAAGATCCATAAAAACCCTCTATTCAAGTAAATAAGAACTGCACACTGTGGCGTTGATTTAATATTAACATTATGCCATTTCATTTCCATCAATAGTTGCACTGATCTTTTCCTCCATGATTTTGTATCGATAATGGGAAAGTGAAAACTCTTCTCCATAATGCCATGAAGAATCTTAATAATGTTAAGATCTTCTTTTTCTGGCCATCACCAGGAAGATGGGACTCTGAGGATGACCAGTTCATAAGTGAAAATGATGTCTCCTGCAGCCTGAATCATAATTTCACAATCTGAGATTTAATGACGTCTGGCATCGTTTGCCATGTAAGTTTATCTTAGAACAACCGTTTCTTATGGTTGTTTAAGGACTCACAATCTACTTAAGATTAAAGATTGTTTCTGGCTAAAACATCTTCATTATATTGCAATAATTTTGCATTGCACTATTTGCAAGGTGCATAATGGTACGTGTACTTGTACCATAACTGTTCAGTACAGATGTTTTGGATGGGTAAAGCAAATTGATGATAAATACGTTGGTCACAGGTGATCACCACTCTCAGAGCAGGTGTATGCTTTATTGAACCTCATGTTGCTGCCCTGGCTACACCAAAATGGACCATGGCTTGTTTAGAATAACACAGCTTGTTGTACATGACCTGCTATGATAGATCCTTTTTTGTCTCTGCTTTTGGGTCAGGTATTACTTTTTTAAAAAGTGGCATTTGGTATTTCTTTTTCTTGTTGAACCTGTACCAAGTTGTGACACTTCTACCAAGATATGTACCAAACCATCAATTAGGCATACTGTAACAACCCTATTTTTTGCTTATAAATCAACAGTGTGGCAGTCTGCTGGTTGCAGAGTAGGGGTTTGGTCAGATATAATTCTCATGCTTTGTCTGAGGTGGCTCACGTAGCGTAAAATTGTACCTTTTAATAATTATTTTTAGTCACTAGGTTAAATATTTGTTATTCCCTTGACCTCTTAATGCTTTTAATGTTGTGGCAGATTTATATGCATGCATATTTGGAGAACACTTGAAAAACATCACCTTTGGGCGGATAATACATGCACTGTTAATAAATATAGTCGCAAATAGGAATGTATTTGTTAGTGCATCTGAGAGGCTTTTCACTGAGTATTACATCTGTATTTACTGACACAACTGGACCATCTTGCCAACTTTTTACTATCAATGTGGAAGGATAAAGCACTTAATGCCTTAATCCTATGTACACAAATACACACACGCATGCACAAACACTCATGCAGTCACTTTTTCCTTCTGTCCACATTATGTAATGTTGTGTGTGGCTTTATGGATCCCAGTAATCTCATTTCCCAGTTTGGCTGGATGGCTAATATCGGAAGCAGCAGGGCTTAACACACCAAAATATAAATTAAATACTAAAATTAAAGTAAAAAATGTATAAAAAGAAAGAATAATATGCCAGGCAAGGGTATAAAAGATGGAGAAGTGAGATATTGATTTTTAGGGCCTGGAGACGGAGAATTAGAAATGAAAAGTTTGCATGACGGGAGGGAGACGCTGAGGGAGAACGGTCTGCAGAAATCACATACTGCAAAACATAACTCCTTGCTACATTTAAAGTTACATTAGAACCTAAATGTTTAATAAAAACTTGCAATCTGTGGGGGAAAAAAAAAACAAGCATGGATAAAGTTTAAGGTTTGAGGTGTGCTGTATTATTTGGACTGTAAGGTACACCGGATTATAAGGTGCAATATCAATGAACGGGTCTGTTTCATACATAAGGCACAACAGATTATAAGGCTCATTAAGCAAAACAAGTTCATTTTGACCAGTTTTTGAGCACCGTGCACCACACAAAATCAGTTCGAGGTCAGTAAGCACAACCAGAATTAATACACAAGGTGCACTGGATTATAAAGCTCACTGTTGATTTTTGAGAAAATTAAAGGATTTTTAGTGTACCTTATAGTCTGAAAAATAAGGTAACTTGGGTTTAGAAATGCAATTGAGTCTCTTGGAAAGGGCATGATATGTTTGGACGTGCTCAGTCCTATTGCGGATCTGATTCTTGAACCCCAAAACCAAAAAAAAAAAAAAAATGTGGAAAATGTATATTATGCACAGTATGTGAATAATGTGTACATTAAATTACTAAAACATAATCATGTACATTTAGTTCAGGCTGATTAAGTGGTGTCCTCTGGTTGAAAGTCTTTGAAATCTGCAGCTGTCTGTGCATTCAGAAGAGCCTCAAAAGACTCGAAGCATAAGTATGGCAAGACCCAGAATAGATGCTGGTCTATTATTAAAATCTTGATAAAGTGTAGTTTGAAAAATTAAGAGGTATGCCGTGCATGTTTGTGTGTGTGCGTTTCTCACTGGTCGGTCTCGCTGACTCACTGTGTGCCATTTGGCAGCCAGGGCACGTTGCAGCCTTTAACAGAGTGACATGATGCAATCTCTCTTTCCTTCTGCACTGAGATTACCCACCCTTTCTCTGTTTCTCACTTTTTCTTTCTGTATTTTACTTTACCGTACTTGCTCTGTTCGTATAAAGTCGGGAAAAAGTAAGCACGTCCCCGTTCTGTTCCAAGGTTGTACACATCAGGACATACGAAAACGATTTGTCAGCAGCAGATCTTATGATTTACAAAATGGTAATTGGATGAGTAACACTTAAGATATTGCACTGCGTACTCTGTGTACTAATTTTATAGGAATTAGCAGTGTTAGTATTGGTAGTTGAGTGTTGATGATTAAATGCACTTGATTAATGACGATTAAAAAGTGACATTTTGGTACTTTGCTGTTCTAAAGCATTAAGAAATGGACTACTGGAAAAAGCTAAGAAAGTATTTTTTCTGTTCATCGATCCAAAAAGTGCCCTAAAATCATTATCACCCTAACATAAAATGTATGAAATGACTCAAGACAGCTGTCACGTCAGTCTTCTGAGAAGTGGCTGTCAGAATAGGTTTTCCCTGAACTTGGCCAAAGTAGGATTATGCAACAGAATTGTCAAGTTGCAAACGGCCCAGATGGTCCAAAGTCCAGATGGCAACTTAACTCAATGCTGTGAAAGTACCTTAAATATGTTATGTATTAATTAGAGCCCACAAGCTTTACTCATTTGCAGCAAAGCTGTAAAGTAAAGTGGGTTGAATTTATTTCTGTAACAAAGTGTGAAAGACTAAAAATGCCACACACAACGTGATTAAAACGAGGCCTGCTGCAGATATTTTTATACAGATACAGATATTCTTGTTGTTCGCACCACATGTGGTAAATGTGGTGGAGCGAAATTATGTACACAGGGTCCAAGTTACATCCAATAATAAAATATAAAAGAAAAACAGTAATATGTAAGACTATGAACTAAGAAAAATATCAATTGAATATACACTTAGCACTAATAGCATAAAAACAATACGCCGAACAGCAGCACGAACATGAGTCTGTGTGAGCAGTGTTATACAGTACAGTGTTTAAATTATAGGATGTAATTTGTTAGTAGTTCACACATTTTGGCTTAGTTTGGGAGAATGCATTTTGTGGTCCACCTGAAAGTGGTTTAACCTAATTTTAGGACTTGTTACAGTCAAATGATCAATGATGTATTCATACTTTAGTGGAACAAAGTAAGACTGTCTTTCTCTTTAACATCTTTGTTTATGATATATTTGAGTTCTGTAAATGCAAGAACTCCTGTAAATAGTATATTGTGTCTGCCCAGTGCACTGTTCCTGTTTTTTGTTTTTTTTCTACAGGGACCAACACCCACTTTCACCACACTGTACTTTCTGTACAATCAAGGAAAGTTTTTGCTGCAATTTTCCTTTTTCACCACATCTGCATCTCCTTCTGTGTAATTATCTGTAGTTGAACTACTGAGAATTATGTCAACATCCTGTCTGTTTTACAGACTAAAACATCCATCTGTTAATCACTTTTGTTACACGCCTTTTCCTTTCTGGGTCACATTGGAGCTGGTGCCTGTTTTCCAGCGTCCATTGAGCGAGAGGCGGGGTACACCCTGGACAGGTCTCCAGTCCATCACTGGGACACAAAGAGACGAACAACATT